TAGTATGTCATCCTTCATTCCATTTTAGAAGGCATGACATATAAATCTATTGATCTTGATTACCCTAAGAAGAGTTAGCAGGGGGTGTACGGAATGGGTCTAGCAGGTTTCGATCCAGTTTACAGGATGGGAACTCGACTCAGGCCTTATACATTTGTGTTGAGTGTATGTGTGTTTGTTTCATTTCCATGGTTTCTATTAAAATAAACAGTCATAACATATCGATACCTTTTTGCCAGACTAACATAAGCGACATTTGTTCAAATGGCACTTATGACAGTCTGGCAAAAAGGTATCGATATACTCTATGCTTTATAAAATATTTGTTACATTAGTTTTTAAATATATTATGAATATATAACAACTGTTACTTTCTTTGTAATTTGTCACAAAATGATAGGAGGTACTTTCTAAACATAGCAATTGTAGTTTGTTTTTCTGTACCTTAAAAAAATATTATTTATAGAAAAAGAGTTTGGTGTATTATTTTTCCAAGTTTAAATATTTAATAATCAATAGAATTTTCAAGTTTTTTTAGCGAAATTTACAAGAGTAATAAAAACTATGTTCACTGCTTATATTAAACTGATTAAAACTTCCTTTATTAAAATGATTATTTATATGATAAAAAATTTGATGATATTGGAAGCTTTTATATTTTTTAATAAACAGTGAAACAGTTTTTGTTTCTCTTGTAAATTTGTTGTATACAAAAACGATTTCTGAATCCATGTTTGAATTTCCCGCCCTAAAGCATTTTTAATTTTCCCGCTATTTACTAGTGGCGCCATCATAGACTGGTTGTGGTTACAATCGCCCAAATAAGTTTTACCGAACAAAAAAAATACATTGAGTTACACGTCTCGCTGGATTGTCTCTGATATTACTGACAAAATAAAACGAATATGAATTACAAGAATCACAAAACATAAAGAAAATAACTTTTTCATTGAAATTATTATCACTAGTCGAGCGAATCATGAGATAATATTTTCCTCGAACAACCAAAGGCTGGTCAAATTCCTGCTCATTTAATACTTCTGATAAGCCCTTAGAATCATCAACAAGCACTCTCCGATGCACCTGAAAAAATACAATTAATACAAACTATCTCAGGGCCAAAGCAAACACTACTAACACATTTGAGATTTTTCGATTTTAACAGTAGTCAAAAGATCAACCTCTAATTATATTACCTTTAAAAACTAAACTTCTATACAAGTTTATATAAGTTATGGTTATTTTATAACAAAATGTACGATTTGTTTCATTGGAGGTAGTGCATAATTTTATCTTTTTTCTTGTTGAAGTTAATAATAGTCATTAAATTAGTCTCAAACTTCGACGTTTTTAAACTGATCTGGAATATTATTATAAACATAACCTATTTGATGATTAAAACTACATCTAAAGCAGCTATACTCAACCTGCGGCTATCCAAGCTGTTTTGTGCGACCCTCCAAGCTTTTTTGTGCTTCCCTCCAAGCTTTTTTGTGCGGCCGTCCAAGCTTTTCTGTGCAGCCTAAAACACTATTATTAGGAATTGAAATGATTGACGTACAGTCCTCCTTTTCGAAACAAATTGTCCTTGCGACTTTTCAAAGCTTATTAAAACAACTAAAACAACATGAGGAGTTTTTTTTAGATAGTATGTAAACTAAAACAATATCAGGACTTTTTTTAGAAAATATTTAAACTGAATCCCTATCGTCACAAAATATTATGGCCCGTGTAGCATAATAAAGAAATTTATGTGGCCCCAAAGAAAAATAGGTTGAGTACAGCTGGTCTAAAGAGTTCTTAGAATGTGTTTAAACCTGTTAGACCTAACGTCTTAATATATTTGAAAGTTTTACCCCTTAAGTCTGCTTGAACAAAAATATGTCTATGTAAAAGTATTTTGCATTCCGTAAATTAAGTTGGGATCTTTACCACATAAAAATATTTAAATCCTCTATCTGAGAAAGGTAAGAATTTTTATTCTTCGGCAAAATAAAATACTGAGATCGGGGACTTTTGTAATTATAACACATTGTATAGTATATATGTATGTATGTTTTATTTTCTAGAAAAACGCTGCCTCATTTGTTTACCATACAGAAAAAGTTTGATAGAAAAATGTTCCGTCATAGAGTTTTAGAAAAAATCACATTTTTTAGATAAAAAATTGTTTGTCTTCAAAAATTTTAGATTGTATTTAAATTTTATTTTGATAGACCTAAAAAATATCTTTTGACGATGAGTGTTTATATATTATCTAAGTTTATCCTAATGGTTTTTTATATTTTTATTAAAAATGCCACAATTCAATTAAAGTAGGGCGAGAGAGAGGGGCAATATTTAATTGAATAACACTACGAGGTGTGTCGAGAAAAAATACGAACTATCTTTAATAGTAAATTGTTAAACATTAAAAAACACTTTTTAAAAACAAAAAACGTTTTAAAACCGTATGTCTAAGTTAGGAAGAAGCCTCATATACAGGGTGTTCCATTTCAGACGAGCCACCCCGTATATTTCTTATCCCATAGTAATTGGAAAAATTTCCCGAAATAAGTCAGATGATTTTCTTTGGGGGACATCTTTTCACGTATAGGGAACAGGAGTTGAGTGATACTTCATTTGTAAGATCTTGGAAGCCTCTTTACAACGGTGTATGAAAAAAATCACATTCTTAAATAAATTCTTTTATCATGCTTACAATCAAAAAAATCAAAACTGCGTTTTTAAATCAAATGTTCACATTGTCCTCCATTGACTTCCATTACAATAATTAATTTTGTCAAACTAATAAATAAAAAAAATCAAAACATTTTCTTATCTTACCTTCATTTACGTTTCATCGATCATTTCATGTATTAAAAATCAATCTGTTGAATTACTACTTTGCTGATTTGCTTACAATTTTAAAAATAAATTATGGTGTACACATTGCAAGAACGTGTTGAGCTGGTTAGCCTGTACTACCAATATCAATATGGTGACCGAGCGGCTGCAAGGATATTTAACCAAAACCATCCTGAACGTAGCGTTCGCCATAAGTACGTAATGGAATTGATTTCAAAATTTGTTGAGACGGGTTCAGTAATGGATAAAAAAAGGGCACCCATTGGAATTGTGAATGATGAAGGAGCAGCTGTGGCGGTATTGGGCCATGTCCAACTTATGCCAAACACGCACTCTGTCCGACAACTTTCTGCAGTTTCCGGTATTGGCCAATCTAACTTTTTCAGAATTTTACATAAACACAAGTTCCATTCGTACAAAATTAAATTAATTTATGAATTAAATGATGATGATTTGGATCGAAGGCAAGAGTTTTGCGAAATTATGGCCGAGCGTATCAATAATAACCCAAATTTCTTGTACAACGTTCGCTTTTCTAACAAATGTGCTTTTCACTTAATGGAGAGATTAACCGGCATAACTGTAGAATTTGGAGCGATACAAATCCTCATGTATTTCGAGAAGCTGACACTCATTATCCGGAAAAGCTAAACGTTTGGGTAGGAATTTTGAGAGACCACCTAATTGGACCTCTGTTTATTCCTGGTAATCTAAATGGCGAAATTTATCTTGAAATGCTGAAAAATGCGATTGATCCGTTAATAACAGAAAAATTAGAAAACGATCCTCTACTAATTAAACAACAATTGCATTTCCAACAAGACGAAGCTCCTCCTCACTACGCCGCACCAGTTAGCCAATACCTCAATTTACAATACCCTGGTCGTTGGATTGGAAGAAGAGGTCATCCTAAGGAGTGGCCTGCTCGCTCTCCTGACCTGAACCCTCTGGACTTCTTCTTGTGGGGACATCTTAAGTCCAAGATTTTTGTGACTCAGCTTGAAAATTTAGATGACTACGCCAACGAATTGTAAATGAGTGTCGTCAAATAACTCCAATTATGCTGGACCATATTAGAGACGGTTTTCATTCAAGATTGTATTATTGTATTGAAGTCAATGGAGGACAATTTAAACATTTTATTTAAAAACGCACTTTTGTTTTTTTTTTTTTGATTGTAAGCATGATAAAACAAATATTTTTTTAAGAATGTGATTTTTTTCATACACCATTGTAAAGAGGCTTCCAAGACCTTACAAATGAAGCATCACTTAACCCCTCTTCCCTATTAAATTTGAGGGGTTGAAGCGCCCCCTCATAGGGGGTTGCTCGTTCAAGCCTCAAATATACCTCAAAAGATGTCCCCCAAAGAAAATCATCCGATGTATTTCGGGAAATTTTTCCAATTACTATGGGATAAGAAATATCCGGGTAGCTCGTCTGAGATGGAACACCCTGTGTAATAGTTGATAATAATTGTAAAATATTAAAAGTGTAGTTAACCTTTAAAATCTATGAAGATAGCAAATGAAGAAGGTGTTTTGTTAACTTTGTTAAACTCACTTGTCAATTCAAACAATGTTCTTCCAATTTGTTAGCACTGACGTAGTATTATTGCTTATTATGTATAGGTTTTTTTGTATGAACATGAGTATAATATTAACCTGTCAAACGATTGACCAATCAGATAATGGCCACATCTTGAAGGGATACAAATTGATGGTCGAATGGGTAAATCATTATTCAACCATCTAGGATTTTTTAGAACTACCCTCATATTAAAGACTTGAAACGAAGAATAAGAAAACCATAACTGCGTCATCACTTGGCAGAGTAACTCTTTGATGATTTCAACCTACTGGGTTTAGTGACGTGTTGTTAATAATATAGGAATAAATAATTTTCGTATTAGTTACAACAATAAAGTATTTTTTTAAGTTCTCTAATTATCCCACAATATTGACTGTATATTTTACCTTACCTATTTAGGTCACTCCTTCTATTGGTTATTTTTCTACACACATTAGTTAAAGAATCTTAAGATAATTTTTCAAAATGTTACCCCGTTTTCCCCTAAGTGTTTTTTTTTCGTATCAAGAGGCTGTACAAAGATAATAAGATTATCTACCTAACAAAGGTGAACAATTTAGAATCGATTATTACTTGAACAAACAATAACACTTGATTAGCTCTTTATAATTTACAAATTAGTTACGGTATTCGAAATGGTTCACAATGTCTTAATACTACCCGTAATAGTTTTTCTAATTGCAACGGTTACAGGAGTGCCTGCGGGAAATGCGGGAGGTTACAATGTGGGATGCGTAAAATGTCATGCCCTTGATAAAAATAAAATCAACATTCACTTGATCCCGCATTCGCACGACGATGTAGGGTGGGTCAAAACCGTTGATGAATATTTTTATGGAGGTAAGTGGAAATAATAGGTCTGTGTCAAAGATCCGAAACCAGTTATTAACACCCGGATTCTGCGTAGTAGATTATTTAGACCACCAAATTCAGACTGCGCACAATCCTGGTGGCAATGACTGGTTTTTGATCGTTGTTGGAACAAACCTTATGTCTTCTGTATTACAGGAGTATTTAAATTGAGTGTCCATAACTTTTTAATCCTAATAATCCCTGTATTGTATTTAATTATGTACAAATGGAGCCCATTCATATTTATTTCTAGTCTTCATCTTTGCCTCCTGACACATTCGTCCAGGTTCCATCAGGATTTCCTCTACATCATTATCCCAGGTTATTTTTTAATATTTGTCTTCCCCTTGGTATTTTTCCACAAGGTCTTGTTTGCCATATAGTTTTTGTGTGTGTCCAAACCATCTTAACTTATTGCTTCCTGTTTTTACTATGAGTTCTACTTCTAGTCTTGAACACCTCTTAATTTATGGAAAGCACTCTGTGAGTCTTAAAATTGATGTTCTATTGTACTTTTTAATCTTTTTCAAGGATTATATCATCAACTTTTCTCACTGTACTCAAAATTGTAATGTTTCTACAGTTTGAACAGTCTCTATTATTTCATTTCTTGTTCAGAAGTAATATTATTCCCAATTCACATTTATTCTGATTTTCAGTGTAGATTTTATTAAGAAAAAGAGTAAATTTTTTACTATTCCTAATTTTTTTACCATTTCTTATGTCTTCAAGTTTATTTTTACTTGGACATCTAGTTTAGTAATTTCTTCCATTTCATTTATTTGGAATGTCTTCCTTATATATTTTTTTGGTTGTTGAGTCATTATTTTACAATTATGGTGTATTTATCTTCTACAGGGTTTAGTATGAAGCCTACCTCTAGGAATATTGTACATTTCAAGTTTTTTATCATTTAATTTAAAATGTCTTTTCTTTTAATAGTTTTCCGTATTTTGAACCAAAAAAGTATTCTTTGGTAGTCTTCTACTTCTCATTTTTCTCAATTACTAAATCTTTTAGCATTAACAAATAAATATTGCATCATTTGAGAGATCACAAGGTATTCTCCATAATACATTCCAACCTCAATATGTTTTTTAGTGTATCAACTTCTTTAAATTGTTTTAGTAAACTCCGGTCAAGTTAGTGTATCACTTATTATTACTTCAGTGGTCGAAGCACTCAAAAGAAATCCAAACAGGAGGTAAGTAGGAAAAAATAACAATTTAAAACTATGTTTACCATATTAATAGAAACAAAAGTAGTAAAGACGATAGTGAAGATAATGAATGACCATTCAGTGTACTAAGACCACTCTTCTACAATACGAAGAGATAGTTGTAAAGTTTTTATTAAAAATTAAAAATTATGAAGCGAAACGAAGAAGACGAATGCTTTTTCTGAAATAAAGCTTCTTCTGGTCCAGATGGAATACCAACATTTTATCACCTCTAACGAATTTTGTTAATTTATCAATTTATTTATGTGTTTTTCCAAGGGTGGCTCCAGGAAGAGGGTCATGTTAACCCTTTCTACCGAGATTAAAATTCTTACAATCCACGAGCCCTTTATTAAAAAATTATTCTAAAAAGAGAGTGGTTAATGGCAATTGCCCCCTGTGAATCAAGCCCTACATCTTCTAAGTTCAACATAATATTTCTAATGGTATAAAAGACAATTTAAAAATGTTCAAATATAAACTTAGAATGGTCTATTATAATTTTTTCTAGACACCTTACTGTGTAAAAGTATTTGAGCATTCCTTAGTAAGTATCTGACAGTACTAATAGAGATAGAAAAGATAAAAATAATGAAAATTACTTAAAATTCAAATGTGTCCAAAACGTAAAATAAAGATAAACAAAAATTTCTAGGAATTATGGGACATAAAAAATACCGTTATTGAATCCAGATTTGTAATTGTATTCAGTGTTGGACAAAATCAGTTTATTATTCATTTTAATGACTTTTAGTTCGATTAATGTAACACTATTGTTAAAATTTTAGATTCATCCAAGTAGAAACTGCATTCTTTCATAAATGGTGGGAAGAAAACGAAGATTTACGGGAAGACTTTAAATATTTGGTAGATAATGGACAAATAGAGATGGTTAACGGAGCTTGGTCGATGAACGATGAGGCTTGTGTTAATTATCAATCAACAATTGACCAATTTACTTGGGGTTTAAGGTACTCTGCGATATTACCTAAAAAATACGTTTTGCTGATATTTAATTTGTTTCAGGAAAATTGAGGAAATGGTCGGAAAATGCGGCAGACCTCGAGTGGGTTGGCAGATTGATCCATTCGGCCACAGCAGAGAACAAGCTTCTATTTTGTCGCAAATGGGTTTCGATGCTATGTTGTTTGCTAGAATGGATCACGACGATAAAGACAAGAGAATACAAAACGGTGACCTAAATTTTCTATGGAAAGGAAGTGCAAATATAGGTACAAATATTTTTATTCAAAATATATTTATTATTGTTTTTTTTTTTTATCGATGATTTCAGGTCCACATCTTTATCTTTGTCAGGTAGGGTTAGATTAAACCTAGAACACTTAGGCTTCGTGCATTTATTTTATTCCTTTGCCTTTCTCGTATTCAGTCCTATTCCTTTGGTCCTATTCCTTTGGTTTAACTGGATTCTACAACAAGTGTATCTGAGGCAACCTTTCCAATTTTTGAGGTTTACATTTTAAGATGACAGCATGATATTTCTTCTTCTTTTATGCAAAGTTTACACGTGGTGAGATCATTGTGTGGTTTGGTGTTCCCTAGTTCACTTCTATAGAAGTTTTTCTTTGCTTTAACAAACCGTTATTGTGATATGATGTTATGATCGCGTTCCGATTTTTTCTGCAATTTTATCTATATCGTTTTAAGTTATAAAGTTGTTTAAAAAGTTCTTAACACTGTTCTCAGCTCTATCACATATTTAAACCATCTACTGGTTTATCAACGTTGTTGCTGATGGTCTGGGAGCAAAGGCTTATTAGACATGTACCACTTGCCAATATAATTCGAAAAGAAAGAAAAACCAAGGATACTACCAATAATCTAGCTCTATCTACTGTTTTTTTTTCTTGGGCTCGTCTGACTATGTGTCCGATTAACACTGAAGCCGGCTTTTTGTGTTTTGCCCCATGTTAGTTCATAGCTCCCACTCTGTCATCTTTGTACCTTGTACAAGTTTGTACAGATCCTTGGGTGAGTGGGTTCTCTCCGTTGTTGGATCAACCTGGGGTTGTCCAAAAAGTGCCTGTCTTTTGCGATCTAGAGCTTCGCATTCGCACAGTATGTGTTTGGCGGTTTCTGGTTTCTTGTGACATAGTCAGCACATGAGTTCCCCATTGTACATACCAATTTTGTTTAAGTGTCCCTTTACTGGGGCGTGCCCAGTAATGAACCCTGTTATCACTTTCAACTGGTTCCTATTTATAAAGAGTAATTCTACAGTTCTTTTGGGACATGGTCTGCCTATGAAGGCTTTTACATGTGCCTGTTTTGGGGTGCTTCCCCAATAGTTAATATGTTGTTCCCGAATCCAGTCGTTTATGAAACCCCGGTCTGTACTTTTTGGTACTCCTGGGTTTGTGTCTGGTTCCGGTGTTTCTTCTGACCCTCTTTTTGCAAGTTTTTTAGCCTTTTCCGTAATCCCTAATCTGTAAGCACCTAATCTTGCCTCCCCTTGTATCACATAGTGAAGAGGTGGGAGTCCTATTAGTGCTTCCATTGCAGCTGTGGGGCTTGTTTTCATTGCTCCCGTTATTCCGAGGCAGACAAGTCTTTGTACCTTGCTTAGCCTCGTTATTGCTTTCCTTTGCTGTGTCTTTGGCCACCACACCAAAGCTGCGTATGTTATTATCGGTCTCACCAGCATGTTATAAAGCCAATATACCATTTAGGGCCTCTTGCATTCGATCTCTTACTATAGTGTTGTATTTTCCCTGTGCCATGATCACTAGATCATCGGCGTATCCCAGGGTTCTATGTCCCTTATCTTTGAGAGCCCTAAGCAGCCCGTCCAGTACAAGGTTACACAGTAGTGGGGACAGCACTCCACCCTGTGGACATTCTCTCGCTACCCGTGTCGCTATTTTCTCTCCCATAAGGGTTGTGTGTATAGTTCTCTTGCTTAACATAGAGTCGATCCAGGACACGCGTCTCTAATATGCCTATCTAGCAGTTTTTCCAAAGTCTTAAGTACAAAGGACATAAGACTTAGTGGTCTTAGGGACTAATATTTCTCCAAGCCTTTGGTATGTGTCCAAAGGCCCGGCTATTTCTGAGTATGTTACAGAGTCTGCTGTATAAAATATCAGGACCTCTTTGTAACATTATTGGATAAATCCCGTCCATGCCCGGTGATTTATAGGGTTTGAATGAGCTAATTGCCCATTTCAGTTTACCATAGTTCACCACTTGTTTGGCTATCCTCCAGTATAGAGCCAACAGCTCTATTATGAGCTTTCAGTCCGAGATTCCGGTTAGCCGGTGTGTGTGCGCTATGGTTTGTGCACTGGTTACAAAAGTAGGTTTATTTCCATGATTCAATATTTCCAAGTTAGTGGTTAAAATGAATTCAAGCAAAGATTCACCTCTTTTGTTTTTGTCAGTTCCGCCTCATAATATAGCAGGTTAATTTATGTCAGCATTTGCAGGTTTTTGGCCTGACGGTGTTTACCAGGTTTATCAGCTTATCTGTTAAAGAAGGGGTGCGCGAGTTACAGGGAAGGTATCCAGAGGTTAGAATGAATGGCCTCTTGCTTCCTGCTATGTTTATTTTCATCCTGACCACTATATGTACCCATACTCTAGTAATTTCTGTGGTTTTAGGTTTATCCACTCAGAATTGAGTGTTGACGCTATTCTTTTCTAATTTCTAATAAAAATAAATACGAATTAATATTAATTTTTCTTTTATAGATGACAGCATTATCTTCGGCAGTTGTTTTCCAAATTCTTTATATAACGAGCCAGATTGGTTTTGCTGGGATATTAATTGTGGAGACGATCAAATTGTCGATAATCCTCATAGCCCTATATATAATCTGGAAGAAAAGGTACGCAACATATACATAAAGGCATTTTTCACTTATTAATAAATTCTGTATGCTTCAGGTAAAAAAGTTTGCCACGGTCCTCCAAAATTTTAGCACCTATTACCCCGAAGAGAATAAAAATATTTTAGTAACGATGGGTGGGGATTTCCAATATCAAGCAGCGGGATACAATTTTGGAAACATGGATAAATTGATTAAGTAAAAAATAATTAAATTACGATACATTTATAAAATTCTTTTCATGCAGTAACATAGCTAAAGTCACTTTCATTAGAGAAGTCATATATGACGCCTCTGTAATTTTATATAATGGAATTGACTTTAACCGTTAGCACACTTTTATAAGTACATCAGGATTAAAATATAAACAATATGTCTTTTAGAGGATTCCAAACCTTCGATACCGAATTTAATCTTATTTATTCAACGCCATCTTGTTACATTAAAGCTGTCAACGATGCTCGACCTAATCTATCTCTGAAAACAGACGATTTTTTTCCATACAGTGACAGAAATAACGCGTTTTGGGCTGGTTATTTTACTTCTAGACCTACAATAAAGAGATTTGAACGAACTGGTCATAATATACTACAGGTAGGTGAAACCGCAAGGATATAATCCGAGGCCGCTTACAATTGTGGTATATAAATTAAAATTTCAGGCTACAAAACAGATGTATGCGTTGAGTTCCAGTTTTTCGGACGATGGTAAGTTGACCGAGTTGAAGGAAGCGATGGGAGTATTGCAACATCATGATGCAATTACTGGCACGGAACAGCAACATGTTACCAGTGATTATGTTAGAATGTTAACAAAAGCTATAAAAGAATCCGAAGAACCCCTTGGCGAAATTATTAGGTAAATATTTTTAATAAAATGAAAAGTGAGCAAGCATTGTTTTTAATACTATTTCCTCCTGTTTTTAGTGAATTTCTGGAATCAGATGTCAAAATGGACCTGTCATCATGTTTACTCAGTAACATGAGTATATGTAGTACATCGCAAAATAATGATAAATTTGTAGTTGCCGTTTATAACCCTCTAGCGTGGAAAACGACGCATTATATCCGACTTCCAGTAAAAGGAGGAAGTTACCAAATCAATGGTCCCGATGGTAAGTATCATTTCTGTGCCTCAATATTAGTTTAATATTAGGACAGAGCTGAATCATTTATCTGTATCTGTAAAGCGGTAAAGGTTAGGTTGCTCCACATTACTTAGGCTATTACTATTTCCACTTTTCATCCTCCAGGGGTATATAGGATCTTCTTCTTAGCTCGTCAAAGTCCTGCTGGTTGACAAGTTGCCGAAATCCTCATTTTTAGATGTGGCCATTTTGTGGTTTTTCTACGGTAAATGCCAAATATTATTGAATATTAAAAGAAAGCGCTTATCAGGTAATATCTAATTGATCATTTAAATTTTAATGTATTCACAGTTTAACCAGGGTTCTTTAAAAATAGTAAATCTAAATTTTCCTGATTAAACCTACATGTCGTAGCGATAGAACCTTTGACATATTGGAGCTTTAACTAAAGTAACTAGATCTGCAAATTCAAGTTTGTCTTTTTTTTCTGTTTTTTCTTCTACATACTATCTTAGCGTCTATCTCATTCAGGATTCCTGCATCATCTAGTCTGTGGAAAATTACTTAATCCTCCTACACTCTGAAGATTTCGAAGATGGTTTCTTGCAGTTAATGCAGACTTATGTTATGTTGGAAATGGGGTGTTAATACACTGCGACCTAAAAGATCTATTGTGCCCCCTTCTATCGCCAATGCACCAAGGAAATGTCTCAATGCCTATAACGACCCTTCCAATCCTATTTTCTCAAGGAAGTGTAGGATTTGAAGTGGCTTCAAGTTAGGTAAATCTCCCTATTTTATTTGATATCCTCCTAGATATAGTGCCCTTGGATTCTGAAGTGCTACACATTCAGTTAGGATGTGAATGGAGGTTTCGTCCTCCTCCTCAAAGAATCTGCACTTACTATCCTGTACTACTCTCAGTTTACTTAGGTGTCCTTTTAGTGAGCAATGTCCGGTAAGGTTCCCTGTTACAATACGTAGCCTGTTCTTGCTCAGGCAGATGCAGGCTTCCGATATTTTCTGGTTACATTCACCAAAAAGTATCTTGGCCTGTCTCAGCCCCAAGAGATTGTTCCAAATATCGGTTCTTCTACTGCCCAATTCTTTTTTAATCTCTCCCAATATTATATTACTGCTGATACCGCAGAACGGCTGAGGTCCTACAAAGGGTGTTTGAGTCCCTTTCCTTGCAAGACTATCTGCAATCTCGTTACCCTGTACCACGTTATGTCCCGGGATCCAACTGAGAGTAACTCTATTTTTCTTGCCTAGCTCATTCAAGTTCTAGGCATCTCCAGACCATTTTTGAGCTGATTACGTAAGAGCTCAGCGCTTTACTGGCTGCTTGACTATCGGACATGATGATAATCTCTTGTCTATGATAGTTTCTCTCGATGTTAAACTGGATACACTTCTCGATGGCGTGAATTTCCGCCTGGAAGATGCTTGGGTATTTTCCCAAGCTTTCGGAGTGCTTGGTTCTCGGCCCATATACTCCTATTCCAGTTCCTTCTATGGTTTTGGAACCGTCCGTATACCACCGAATAGTACGTCTTTCGGTTGCAAGCGCAATGGATTATTGGCTCCATTCTTTCTTGCAGCCCAGCTCTGTGGGTTTGAAGTTTTTCACAAAACTGTACTTCTTTAGCATTTCATCCTGGGCCTTGTCCCAGGTATAATGCAGACTTACTTACCTTTTTGGTAAGCGATGAATATATGTTATTCTTTGATTCTGAAGATACTTTAGACTCCTTAGTACATTCTGGTAAGTATCTTTACTTTCTGCGTCTCCTTTTTTTGGTTCTATTTTTCTTAAATTTATTCCAAAAGGCCCTTATTTGGCTCTCCAATGAGCCTCATATCATAATGCTCACTCAATAAGTCTTGGGCCTGTCTTCAACCTGTACTGATCTCGACAACAATTTTAATTCGATCTATTTTTGAGATCTACTATACTCTTACACCGATGTCTAAGTCAAATGAATGAGATGATATCGTTCAACCAGTCTTTCCTATATCGATTTTACTTACATCATAATCAAGTACATATTCAGGAAAGAGTCATGGTGTTATAAAATAGCATCTAGATCTGGTATAAAATTGCAACATAACACATTGTTGATGGAATATTACCAGATTGTCATTCTTCGAACTGCAGCAACCCTTTTTAAAATATCTGGCCTTGAAGAAGACAGAAAGTAGTTTCTAACTTTCTGCGAATCGCAGATGGGTTTGAATTTTGTTGCCTTGTTTATTTACTTAGTTTTACAATTTTTATGAGCCGCCAAAGTAAGAAAATGATAAATATTTCTTACGAGAATCTGATTTTCCCGAAGTTTGTTTTGAAAATGCTGGATGAATAGTATTTAGCTCGTACAAGTAGGTAACTGTTCAATCCTATTAGAAGGCCGTATGTGGACCGCGGACCGTGGGTTGCCTAACCCTGATCTACTAATTCGTTTGATCAATATTTGAGTTGTCTTTGATCATTACCCATGAAGCTATTCCTATAATTATCTTTACTTTATCCTCTGTGTTAACCTATATCTTCGTTATTATTAGGCCGATTCGTATAAGACAACGTAATATGTCTCTTATCTACTAATCAAAATTTCCTGTGTACTAATTTTGCAAATTTTAGGAACTGAAGTGTACGATCTGATAGAAACCTTGTTTTCATTCAACTACGTGAAAATAAAGAATGAAAAACCGAGCTCGATCGAACTAGTTTTCGCCGCTAGAGATATTCCTCCATTTGGCTTTAAAATATATCACATACAAAGAACTAAAAAAGTGAAAATAACTAACAAGACACGTGTTTCTAAAGTCACTTCTTTTGAAATGGACCTAGTGACAAATTTGATCAAATCGGTTACTTTAAACGGCGTCTCCATAAATGTGAGTCAAAATTTTCATTTCTATCAAAGTAACGATGGATATTCTGATGCTTCTGAAGTTGCTTCTGGTGCGTATATATTCAGGTGAGCACAATTACTACGTCATGATCAATTTCTGATAAATGTATAAATATAAGTAAGATAGAAATAGCGGCTGTAATCTATAAATGGTTTTCTTGACGTAAATGGGTCAACAAATGGTAATTATTGACCCCTACAAATTTTCAATAAATGTATAATTTGTTTTAATCATTTTAATTTTATTTTTAAACGCACCGCTATTGGCTGAAATGTCCCTTAGCAGCACCATATTATTTTCCTAAAAATATTTCTTTGATTCAAACCGTTTGCGATGATTTTTTCAAAACAATGTAGATTTAAATCTATCATTTTGTCATTACAAATAATCGATTTGTTTTCAACAAGATTTTAAAGTATTTATTTAAACAAATAACAAACTTTTTTCGGAATGTACCTATTTTCTTTTATTTTGTATATTAGATATTTTTGTTTTATTTGTTTTAGACCATTGAGAGATGAACCATTGGTTTTGGAAAACGCCACAATTATAAAACAATTTTCCGGAAAATTGATTGAAGAAGTTCATCAAAAATGGAAAAATGAATATGCTGATGTTTATCAAAGCATTCGCTGGTATAAGAATGAAAACTACTTGGAATTTGACTGGATTGTAGGCAACATCGATTTGTGAGTATTGCGAAACACATTGCCAAATTTTGCGGACAAACATTAATGCTTTTTAATCTAAGCAGTACCTTCGTTAAATCGATAATTAGATCTCTCAAACACAGAGAAATCGAGGACACGTGCGTGTCCTAGATCGACTTTATGTTATACACCCTTATGGGAGATATAATAGCGGCACGGGTAGCGAGAGGATGTCCGCAGGGTCGAGTGCTGTCTCTACTCCTGTGGAACCTTGTAGTGGACGGGCTGCTTAGGGCTCTTAAAGATAAGGGACATAGAACCCTAGGATATGGCGATGATCATGGCACAGGAAAAATACAACACTATTGTAAGAGATCGAATGCAAGAGGCTCTAAATACAGTAACAAAATGGACAGAGGCGGTAGGACTAAACATTAGCCCAGCCATAATTGCATTCACCCGCAGGAGGAAATTGGAGGGACTAGGGCCTTTAAACCTAAGAGGTGCAAGCGTCCAGCTTAAGGGGGAGGTAAAATATCTCGGGGTTATGATTGACTCTAGACTTACCTGGAACCAGCATCTAGAAAAAACCACAAGGAGAGCGGAAACCTCGTTAATAATGGCAAGGCGATCCTTTGGAAGAAAAAAAGGGGTTAAAACCAGACATGGTATATTGGCTTTATAACATGGTGGTGGTGAGACCGATAATAACATACGCAGCTTTGGTGTGGTGGCCAAAGACACAGCAAAGGAAAGCAATAACGAGGCTAAGCAAGGTACAAAGACTTGCCTGCCTCGGAATAACGGGGGCAATGAAAACAACCCCAACTGCTGCAATGGAAGCACTAATAGGACTCCCACCTCTTCACTATGTGATACAAGGGGAGGCAAGATTAGTTGCTTACAGATTAGGGAATACACTGGGAAATGTTGACATTAGGCCAGGTCACATAAGTATCTCAAGGTTAGTGACAGGAAACATGCTAGACATAAGATTAGACCACATAATATTCCATTTGAGGTTTTAATACAGGAAAGAGCGGAGATCATCATAAGGAAGCCCAATGTCTAACGACAGGAACAAACCTGGTATACAGGCGGGTCTAAGACTGCGGAAGGCACTGGGACGGGAGTATTCTCCAAAAACCCTGATACTAACCATAGCTATGCTATAGGAATACATTCCTCGGTATTTCAGGCCGAGGTATACGCAATTTTGCAATATGCAAAAACGAACAATGAAAAAGCTGTCGAAAATCAGCATATTTAAATATTGTCAGACAGCCAAGCGGCACTTAAGGCCATATCGAGTCAGAAAGTTACGTCGAGGCTGTATGGGAATGCATCGAAGAACTAAAACATTGACAGACCGAAATAGAGTAAAACTATTTTGGGTGCCAGATCACCAAGGGATCGAAGGCAACGAAAGGGCTGACGAACTTGCAAAAGGAGGATCAGAAGAAACACCGGAACCAGATACAAACCCAGGAGTACCAAAAAGTACAGTCCGGGGTTTTATAAACGACTGGATTAGGGAACAACATATTATCTATTGGGGAAGCATCCCAAAACATGGAACATGGCACATGGAAAAGCCTTCATAGACAGACCATGTCTCAAAAGAACTGGAGAACTACTCTTTATGAATAGGAATCAGTTAAAAGTGATAACAGGGTTCATGACTGGGCACACCCAAGTAAAGGGACACTTGAACAAAATTGGCATAAACAATGGGGAACTCATTTACCGACTATGTCACAAGAAACCAGAAATGGCCAAACAAATACTGTGTGAATGCGAAGTTCTAGATCTCAAAAGACAGGCTCTTTTTGGACAACCCCAAGTTAATCCAACAACGTATAGAACCCACTCACCCAAGGATCTGTACAAACTTGTACAAGGTACAAAGGTGACTGAGTGGGTGCTATGAACTAACATGGAGTAAAACACAATAAGCCAATATGCTTCAGTGTTATTCGGAGACAATCGAACGAGCCCAGGAGAAAAAAAAGCAGTATAAATATATAGTAATTAGTTTTCATAATTTTACTGATGATATTAAATTTAATCTTAACTTCTTCTACATGGCAAAATATTCAATGCACATAAGATTGGCTTTTAGAAACGATTTTTGGTTACTCTAAAAACAAAGGTATAGAATGTAACTAAAAAAAAACAGATTAGTACCTATTATAAAATCGCTTGTTGCTTTTATTCCACAATTTCAACATTATGGTCTTTAATATACCTACCTCCATGATCCCTGGACGGTACAGATGCCATATAATAAAAAACCTATCTGGCACCATTGCCAAAAGGACATAAACGTACATCTTCTTTATTATCCATCCGATTTAAACGCTGAAAACTTTGTTCAATCCTTCATAGCATACAGGGATCTACCATCATGAACGCTCTGCTTATCAAGGTTTAAAAAGTGGGGGGGGTTACTACCATCATATCAATAGCTATGGATTACCATTATAACATTTTACTGTCATTTAATGCTTTTATCGCATGTTTGTATAACATATCTACAACATTTTGTATTTTCGAATCGGACAATAACGAAGATATACGATTGTGTCCTTTTGGCAATGCTATATCGTACATTGCTTTCATTAAATTTAATATCTGAGTGACATTTTAAAAAATAAATCAGTCCATTACTAACAAAGCTGTGTTAACGCCCTTTACAATAGGGGAATGTTAGAGAATTTTTAATAATTACGACACACAGCTTTTTTGTAAGACGGTTTCATATGCTAGTGCATCGAATATTAGAATTATTTAAGCAAATTAACTTTTGTTAGACTGCCAAAGAATCAAAAACTCTTTCCAGTGTGCTATAACTCGACCATCCTTGTAATTAAAAATGTTCAAAGCATTTATTATTTATTGAATTGTTTTAATATCTTACTTTTAGGGATAAAGTAGGTTTTGGCAAAGAATTTATTAGCCGATTTAACATCGATAATTTTGACAACAAGGATACCTTCTACACCGACTCCAATGGAAGAGAACTGATAGAGAGAGTTAAAAATAATAGACCAACGTACTCGTACAATAGTTCCCAAGAACCAGTCGCGAGCAACTATTATCCCGTAACCTCTAGGATCGTTATCAAGGACGAAAAAAAAAACCTGGAAGTAGCTATCCTTACCGATAGATCCCAAGGTGGTACAAGCTTAGATAAAGGTCAACTAGAACTTATGGTAAGAACTAAAAGCAGTTTTACAAACTAAGAGTAACAAAAATATATTTTGTTTTAATCCAGGTACACAGAAGATTAGTTTTTGATGATAATCGAGGAGTGGCAGAAAGTCTGGATGAATATGAATTCGACGGAGGTTTGTACGCAAGAGGATCTCACTATTTGGTATTTGGACCGATTAAAAATACTGATAAAGACAGTAAGTACTGTTCTATTTACTTTAAATCCTCTTACAGCTATAATTTCTACTGTCCATTAAATCCTAGAATCCTTTTAAGAATATTCTAACCAACGTTGTTATTATGTTTGAACATAAGATGCATTAAAAAAAAACTTAATCATAACAATGATAACTTTAAAAATATAACATTTTGTTTTTAGAACAATCTACTGCAGCTAAAGAACGTATTCTGGCACAAAAGAAACTGCTTCAACCATGGGTGGGGCTAGCACCGACCAATTTTACTTTTGAACAGTTGAAACATAAAATGAAACTTTCGGTAAGATTTCATGAATTTTTTTCTATCATTCCTAATGTGTCAAAGCATAATGATGTTATCGATTTTCAATTTTTTATTTATATTAAAATCGTATTATCCTATTAATCTTATTTTTCTATTTTGCCGATAAATACAAAAAATGTGACAGAAATTTCATCATTTTCTCTTCTAAATATGTCTAGACTGGGTAAATCTTCTTGAATAAGAGTAAGGGTTTTAAATCTGGGTCCCATATTCCCTAATAGGCTTGACAAAATAAGCGATACGCCACCTACAGTTTTAATTTGAAACCTTCCAGTGGGCCATTAATGTTTTGTGATTCAAGCATAATATAGGTTAATCTTACGGTTTCTGTTTGTATATGGTGTTTTAAAGACGTTTAATTGATAAAATTATTGTTTATTTTATCAAAATGAACAATCACTGTTGTGTTCCCATGTGTTCCTCTTGGGTAAAACTAAATAAAGAACTTAGTTTTCATACATTTCCCAAAAAAGGACAACGTGTTTTGGTAGAAACAAAATTAGGGAAACGAGAAGCTGTTGATTGGAGGGAGGAATGGATAAGAAAATTAAAAATTGGAAAGCCTGTGAGTCCGTATGTTCATTGCATTTCTCTGAAAACGATTATTTTTATAGAGGTTAGTATTTGTTGCTGTGGATTTCGTTTTACCCGCTAATATTAGATGCCCAGCATTTAAAACGTGTTCACCTTCGTAAACACATTTTGAATTTTTGGTCCCTTCTAAATACTTCATATAGTCGACAATACTAAGCCTAATTTCACACATCTGCAAGTAAAAATAGTATTATGTATTTAGGTTATGGGTTAATGTAATATAAGGTAAACATACCTTTGCTAAATAAATACTCTGCCACTATCTATAAAAATGTTTAATTAATACATATATAACCAACACTAAAACTAACAAAATCCTTTACACACTTTAAAAACGAAAAATTCAACAACTAATCTTACGAAAAACCTATGGCATGTCATATGAAAACAAATGTAAACAAACTATAAATGGCCCAGCGAAGGACGAAAAAGTGACCGGTAGAGGCGCTGGAGTCTAAGCTTTTTTCGCCTATTTGGTACATTTATGGAGTCTGACGTTTGACAGTACTTGGCAATAACCAGTTAGAAGGCCTGTGATCAGGCCCAGATTCTGTGTAGCCATAGTCAAACAATTGTTTGATGTAGTGTTGTAAGGATAACCTACAGTTTGTCTAGAAACTCCGCAGCTTTTTTTTTTTGATTCCACAATTTCAGGAGGGATTTTTTTTTGGTTAAGTTTGTCACTACCAATGTAAGTCCAATGGAAAGACCATGTTTAAAAAGTATTTGGTTGGTTGTCTTCTTTTTCTGGTCATTTCTTTTCCTGCTATGAGAATCTCTTTAAGTTTCTATTCATAGTGATAAGATTTTGATACAACTGTAGGTAAAAAATATAAATTTGAATTTCATTCAATTTGATTTATAAAAAATAATTAATTGTTTCTAGTATGGTGCTTTAACCGCTGAACTTCCAGAAAACGTTAATATTTTGACATTCGAGCCTTGGGTCAATGGTAGTTACCTTTTGAGATTGGAACATATAATGGAAAAAGATGACGATAATGTTTTATCAATGCCTGCAAAAATTTCAAACTTAAAGGTAAGTGCTGGGGGTTTAGTATTCTAGCAGAATCAATATTATTTTGCAAATTACTAATTTTTAGGATATATTTAAAAATATAACTGTCACAGAAATGACAGAAACGACGTTGGCAGCTCATTTGACTCGTACAGAACTATCAGAAAGAGGAAAATACTCATGGATTATGATAAATAACTCCTTTAGTACGACCAATGCAAGAACTGTTATTAACGCCGATGAACAAATTACTTTAAATCCAATGGAAATCAGAACATTTATTCTAAAAACCGAAAAAAAGTCCAACTCTGCAAATGGGCGCAATTCTTGTTTTATTTCGTTCGGTATTTTATTCTTAGTTTTGTATTTATTTTAAATAAATAAACAAATGTAAGTGTTAACTACAATGTTTTTTACTAATACTGCACAAGTTCAAATAGCTTTTTCCCTTTGAACCTTCTATTGTCCAATATTTCTGTACCTTTTTTATTAGATTCAACTTTTCAGAAGTGGTCCTGGGAAACAAATGGTTTCCTAAAACGCAAGGTTAATGACCTTAGGTGTGTAACAAATAAAATAATTCTGATTTCTCATTTTTCAACTTAGGTTATATTGAAACAAGGTAAGTTAAAAATAAAAGAGAAGAAGAAATATCTAAAATATAATTTTAGTTATTTAAAAAAGATATGCTATGATAGCTATTAACATTATTACCGACGTTGCTGGTTTCATCATGACTCCAAAATCATCTACTGGAATATCTTGCTTGTTCGTTAATTTAACAATAAATGTCCTAATCTGCATGGGTTTGAGTGAGATAGGTGCTACAGTATCATCATCAGCTTCGTCTGTTACCGATGTTTTAGAAACTTGAGGTTTGTTAGTTTTCCACGTGTACTTTTTTCTTCTCTGGTAATGTGCTAATAATTCGTTAGCTCCTAAAGTAGTTTCGGTCATTTTTTCTATCGTAAAATGTTTAAAAGCATTCTAAAAAATGTGAAAAATTAATTTTTCGTCAAACCGAAACGTTCTTTAATATTTTTAAAGCACACAAATGGTAGAAAAGTGGTACAAAATGTAAATAGAGTAAAGAATGTGAAAGAATAAAAGTGAAAAAAATCAAAAAGGATAAAAAACAAACTAAAATTTCAATAAATTTAAATCAGAAACGGATAATGCCCACACTACATCATAAAGACCGGACAATTTAATTTATTCTTATCAGCGAAGTAACGGTAAGAGCGGACCTTCGATTTGAATAATACATTCTGAATAAAACAAGTTATTTACTGAACTGGTCGACACAGTAGATAAGATATTGGATTTTTATCGCCCGGGCGTAACATTTGGGGCGGGCTTATTATTACATTTACATTGCAATAATTATTTTATTAAATTTTAGTTCAAATTTGGTTGGATATTATTATATAATTACAAATGATATTATTATTTATTTTTTTATTGTGTTGTGGGATAATGTTGTTGGCTTTTTCTGTTAATATATTATTGACTAATAAATATATCAACGAGGATACACCATCATTAGTTTTATGTTTAGAGTGTTCCAATATACACTCTTTATCCTAAAGTAGCAAATATACAATTATATACAATATATACAATACAAATTAATATCAATCTTCTTCATTTGAAAAATATGTTTGTATGACTGCATATTTTTCTAAATTGTCTTCAGTGAAATTACTTCTTTTAGAAGTCAATAAATCTTTAAACCTAGAAAACGATCGTTCTACGTCACAACTCGTTACAGGAGCAAATGAAAAATGTGGAACAAAATCACAATATTTTAAAGCAGTTTCATAATCGTTAAAATTGTTCAGGGAGATTTGTTTCAGAGTCTGTAAATTTGGATTTCTTTTAATAACACAATCTATTTTATGGTTAAATTTATCTTGTAAGGGCCACTTTACGTTTTTTAAGTGTAACAATGTCGATTCAAATTTTTCCATAGCAACCGATAATTGTAAGTTACGGGTTTCAAGGAATTTTATAGTTTCTGGGAGACACGAAAAATAAGTCGCAAGAAAATTTAACTCCGACTGCAAAGTTGTTTTTGTTATTAAACCTTTACACTGAGTGATAGAGAGAGCGTCCTCTGATAAGTTGGAAATAAATACTTTTAGTCTGTCGAAATGCTCCGAAAAAAAGAACACAGCCTGTAACCAAGTTCCCCATCGTGTAATAACTGGTTGTGGAGGTAGGGGGATATTCGGACATATTTCTTTATATAAAGAAACTCGGGACGGTGCTTTTAACAAAATTTTTTTAAAACAGCTAATCAACGAATTAATGTCTGGAAAGCTGTCACGGATAAACTCACAAACTCGGTGTAACGCGTGAGCAAGGCAAGTTACATGCAGCATGTTTGGAAAATGTTCTTGTAATAGTTTCCCTGTTTTCAACATTACACTTGCCGCGTCTGAAATAAACAATAAAACTTTTGAAACGTCATTATCAATTACATTGTTCAATCCACGTTTCACTATTTCATAAATCATTTCAGCGTTCACAGTTTCACGAAACACACTAGAAACTAAATACTGTTGTGAAGTATTTTCAGCACTTAATAATCCTACAACAACATTAACAACACATCTACCCTTTATGTCAGTCGTTTCATCTGCACTAACCCAAATATATTTGCTGGAAATTTTCGTTTTTATTGCCGTCATTGCTTTATCGTACTGATTTTGAATATAATGTTTTCTAATTGTGGATTCATCCGGTATTTTACGTTTAGTATATTTACAAAGAAAATTTTTGAAAATTGTATTATTTAATTTTGTTAATGGAATATTTGCAGAAACAAATGCGTTGCATAAATCTTCATAAAAGATTTTGTCTGGACATCCCTCTAAAGATTGCATGTGTTTTTGTGTTTTCACATGTTGTGTCATACTTGACTTTCCATTAAAAACTAACACCTGATCACAATTGCGGCAGTATAATTTGTTGTCATTAAAACGACGAAAACAATCAAAGTCCGATAATAAATTTTCCATATTTACGTTTCCAGTTTCTATCACTTTTCCCTTTGAACTAAACAAATATACTCATTGGAAAAATCTAGTGATATTTTTACAAGACACTTTCTTCTCAAATCTCCTGTTTATCGACTCTTTGTTATCTTTTTACATTTTTTCAACCAACAGATACCTATATAGAGTGAGCAATTGAATTAATACATACATTACAGAAATTTAACAGACATTTATTTTATTGTCTCATCGTGTATAAGTACCATAATATCCACAGGAAATAAAAACATAAATGTTTTGTTACAAAAAATCGGTATGTACGGTATCGATAAAAGCCAAAATATTCATAAATATAATATAAGGATTGACTTTATTTGAATAAAAATATCACCGGCAACTAACCGACAATGGATCGAGAAAGTATAAGACAACATATGATGGGCCTATTTGACATTCATTTTAGGCCCTCTCTACAGCGTCTTAGTCCAAACGCTCGTAGAGTCCTAATATTTGGCCCCGATGCAATTTCTCCAACAATGAATCGGGACCAGCTAAGGCTAGAAATTTCCAATTTTCTGGAGGAAATAACAAATTCGGGGGAGGCAGCTGGGGTCCTCGATCCTCATTTTAGGCAGGAGAGTAGTGTACCACGCCAAAATATTGAGGAATAGATATTTTGTAATTATATAAGAGATAATAATAAAAAAAATATCATACAGAATATCGTTTACATTACTACACCTTAAACTCGCTTATGAAAAGTTTAACATCTTCATCAAAAAAGTTATTTTTTTTAAGGAAAATTTCTCAGGTCACAAATTAAAGGATCTGAGGTTACTAAAAACTTTTGTTAAATATCCTACATATCCTCGGCGTTGGTGAGAAGAAAACATTAAATTTGTTTAATGAAAATGATTCAAAAGACAAAGAATATAGGTACACGATAAAAAAAAATCTCACTTTTTTGTATTAGTTTTAATGTCTATGTATATATCAGTACACTTTTTTTATCTTGTTTTAATAAAAAAAAGAGGTTTGTCCTGATAGTATTAGAATCTGCCGTCTTAAATAGCGAACCCAGAATGAGACGCCTATGTGATTAAAACCAATTATTTGAACGCGATTAAAATGTCCGGTCTTTAATCACTCGTCAAGAGGTTTTCTGTCAAAAATTTAGATTTTTGCATTATCGGATTGGGACCACCAGGGCCTACTGGTCAGGATTGAGAAGGATTCACCATTTGTTTCCATGGACCGATGATTCCTTAAAAAGCAGAACGGTCCTCTTTGCTTATTGATGTTTCTTCTGAGAGTTTCTTCGAATTTAATGTTCTCAAGGGCTCACTGACTCAACGAGGGCCCACTACCTAAAAGATGGCCCACTCCATAAACAAAGGCCTACTATTTGAACATTTATCCTATTCAACAGATCTCGCCATATGTGACTTTTGTTATTATCCAATGTCAAATCAGCATTGAAAAGGCCCAGATTTTAATTTTAAACAGTAAAATTGTCGAAAAAAATTTAGACTGGGACCATAAGCATCCTTTCAAAAAATGATTATCAGCACTACTATTGCTAATGGAAAATTTGGCTGGTTCAGCATGAAATTCCCTAGGGAAGCATTTTAAAGTCACTCCTCTTTATATTTCGTATAAATTTACTTTACTTACAGCAATGTCTACAGTAACTGGTTCCGACAAGTTAGCATCATCATTCTTCTCCATGATGTGTTCCAACCTTAAAAGATATTCCTTTTCTGTCCATGGTTCAAAAGTCAGAATATTTACATTTTCTGGAAAAGATGATTCTAAGCCTTCATACTAAAAAAATTGATGTTTGATCTCTAAATGTTTTTTTATTAATACGATTTTTTTCACTTACTGTTAACTTGGCATCTTTTTTCAATTCATCATACGATTGATCAGTTTCAGCGACCCCTATCCAGGGCTGGACCAGTTTCTTTTGGGCCAAAATACGTTCCAAAGCAGCCGTTGTTATACCTAAATCAATAAACAGATGAATTATTTTGCTTATATTTACATTATTTATTTATTACTCACCATTAGAATTTAAACCGCTAGCCTTTCCTGCAATTAAATAGTGAGAACCTCTAACATAAATTCCCCTATTAAATTCTACTTCATTTAAACTCTCCCCGACTCCTTTGTTGTCATCTTTTAAAAGTCTTCTATGTACCTAAAAATCCATATAGAAGGTAAGCTTAAAATTAAATATAGTATAATTAGCACCTAAAATATATCTATACTATTAGACTAGAAGGGAAATAAGAACACATAACAGATCCGAACACTTTGATTCCCTGTATAGAAGCAGGTTATTAACCTTGAATATCTGCTTTCAGTTTTAACTGCTTGTAACTTGCTATAACTAGTAGCATATTTGCTTTATTTCTAATGTAGGTCTTCCTTTGATAGATACTTTCATTTCTTTTAGTAAATCACCAAAATTTTTCAGAATCATAGTTGTATACAAGAATATCAATCGTCGCACACATTTTAATCACCTTCAAACTTCAAAAAATAGGTCACCAGATTAGTTTTTTTAAAAACAAGTAACTTTTTTTTAATAAACTTAAACACTGCAAAAAAGAAAATATAAAATATTTACCATCAATTCTAATTCGTTGGTATTCAAACTGGATCCACCTTGCGATCTATCGGTCAATACAGCAATTTCTATGTCTTTATTTTCATCTTTCATAACTATTTTAGAAGTTACCGGGTAATAATTTCCAGCAACAGGCTCAATAAATGCGTTATAACTGTAATCCGGTCTATTGTTTCTAGTTCTTTTTAACATTTCTCTACCGTTTGAATCTGTATAGAAGTTGTTACCATTGTTAAAATAATCATCAGTTGCAGTAAATTTGGTGATGATTTCCTTGCCTTGTTGAACCTTTTTACTTGAGAAAGAGAAGTATGATAATAGTATAAATAAGCATAAACTGAGAAAGCTTTTAGAAGGGTAGCTTCTTTGAATAATTGCTCAGTCTATTATTAATATTAAAATATTATCATTAACCATGACTTACACATCAATATTACCAACGATCCAGTCAAATTCCAAATAATCCTCATCATGGTACCACCTAATAATCTGGAGTATGTCCACAGCATCTTCAGTCCACCTCTGATGGACTTCGTCCACAACATTACCATTAATACTGTAAGTAATTTCAATGTTATCAAGAGATTCAGGTTCTTCCTTAGTAGGCCTAAAAAGATAAGCTCCGGAAGCAATATCTGTATGATCATGTTCTCCAGTTTCGCTATAGTAATATTTAAAATTTTGAGTAAGACCATAGTTATTGCCATTTAGGGTAACGGAAGCCAATAGGTTGTTGTTACCAATTTTGAAAGCTTTTGATTTGAATGTATCGATTGATTTATCTTCTGATAGTTTATCAGATGTTTTCTTGACGTGATAAATTTTAAGACCCAGTGGAGGTAGTTCTTTAGCTGCAAATACTAGTTCATATGCGCTTGGTGTACCTTCGTTTAGGACAACGTAGTTAAAATCGCTAATAGTTGGTATTACATCATGAGGTATATCTGAAAAGATAGAAATTAAAGAATAGTAGTTAACCTAACAAGTGCGGAAAGTGATACTTTTCCGCACGTGATTGCAGATGGTCGAACGACGCGTTAGCGAAGTTCGGCCAGCAATCGCGTGCGGAAAAGTCACTTTACACACGTGTTAGGTTTTTTTCTACTAGCGTGCGGAAAAAACCCAAAAGTTAACATAAAGAAACATTTATTATTAAATACATATCAACAAATTAATTATTCTAAATATTAATATTGAATGTGTAATTTGTAGCATTCTGTAAATTAATTGCAGAGGCTAAAATGTTTTCCAATGAATTCAGATTTCGGTTTTCCACTGCTTTGTCAGCACTAATTGTTGTAACCGTGGCGATGGGAACTTGGCTGGAAGAGGTCATTTTGAAAGGCTTTACTGGTGACAGCTGCTGACTAGTGGAAGGGCCAGCGACAGCGTCACTGAAGTTTAATATTTTATTCGATAGGCCCTTTTGGAAACTTGGTGAGCTTCCTAAATAACCTGCGACGCTAAAAGATTTCCAACCTCCGAGGCGTTTAATATTTGTTATTCTTTCTCCGGAATCTGCCAGCTTTTTGGCGGTGGAACGTCGGAAACTGTGGCCAGTATATAATTCAGGATTTGGAAGCTTCAGATAACTTGCAATCTCTGATTTTTCCGAAGGTGTTTATTCCAATACATTCTACAGTGCAAGTTCCTTTCTTATATTTCACGAAAAGTTGCTTATGTGGGGTTTCAGGCTTTCTTAAACTCACATACTTTCTGAACAAATTGAGCAATTTTTCATTTTCAGCTTCCTCAGAAATCGCAAAGCTTCTGAAAGAGTGGTTTTTGTGTCTGGAATATTTTTCAATAAAATATTTCCTTTGTCATCAATGTAATCTAAAGATATCTTTGTTAATTCTTTTCGCCTACATGCGCCCGCCAAATCAAAAATCGTAGCGACTTTTATATGAAGATAAATTTTGTCAGGCGCTTCATTTGTAAACTTAAAAATTTTTTCTTTTGAGAAAATGTTTACGTTTTTTGGTCTAAATCCAATGTTTTGTTTTTTTTTATATATACCTGGACATTGAAAAACTTGCTTAAATAGACGTCTTTTTTGAGTTTAATTACAGTTTTTAACATTGAGTACCTGGACCAAAGAGTGTTTGGCTTGCATGTTTTGGGAATTTCAGCGAAATAAGCCAAAAAACGTCTTCTTTAAAAGTTTTAATTCCTTTATTCTGGCACTAGCTTTCAAACAAAATATATTCCTTTTCATACCTATCTATAACGGGATTTTGATGGTAGTAGATCCAAGTTTGCAGTTCTAGCCGCTTCCAAAACTGACTTTGACGAATCTTCGTCTGAAGAATCCATAAAAAATTATCTTCCAGAAAAATATGCGACGGTAAAATTGGTTTTGACAAGGTAGTGTTTTGACTAACAGGTTTATTTTTTCTTTGTTGCTACGGCACATACTTTGATTTTCTTTTACTATACGGAGAATGGTCGCACTGCGCAGCTTTCTGAGTGCCTTTTAAAAGGAGATAGAAAACTCCGCCATTTTGAACTTTTATTACGTGTTGCCTACATCTTGGCGCAATATTTTTAATAGGTGCGTTTTAATCATTCGCTTCTGCTTCGGAATTGTCGGTTTTCTTGTTTTAATCTGACAGGTTAGAACGACTGAACCGACAATTCCGGAAGCAGAAGCGGATGGTTAAAACGCACCTGATAATTTGCTTGCTGCTGTCAGTGTCAGTGAATATTATTTTTGGAGTCACAGTTTATTGCTAAAGAATCAGTTAGCTCACTCAGACCAGTTGAAAGTTCCAAAATAACATCCACTCCAGGGATACAAATTCAGGATACGCAGAAGACTGCTGTTTTATTATAGGCGGTTGTCATATATTGTATTATCTGAGTTGCGCAGTGTATAAACTGGAACATTGAGATAAAAAGTGCCGACGCAGAGTGAGCGATCTGATTCTTTAGCTATAAACTGTGTCATAGGGTTCAAAATGGCCGCGCCCTATGTTGGGCGTGTCAGACCTCTCTCTTGCCCCGCATGACGGTGATTTAAAGTGACAAATAAAAGATGTCAGATGTTAATTATTATTTGACATCCATTTGATGAGGCTTATACCAGGGCCATTAAAAAATTATTAAAACATACGTTTTTTTTATAAAAAATTATAACAGAATTCTAATAAATTTCTTAATTTTTCAGTCATTTTGTACTTAACAAATTTACTAGTGCGGAAAAAAGTTTTTTCTACACTAATGCGGAAAACTGACTCTTTCAACACTAAAATGAGTGCAGAAAAGTGGACTTTTCCACACGCTAGTAGAAAAAAGGATTATAGTTTATTAATTTTTGGTTCAAAAAAACCTTCTCCACAAAACGAAAGTACATTACTAGTTTATGTCATAGTTTACAAGAAAAACTTACCACCTCCATTTACTTCATATGTTCCTTCTTCTACTGGTAGCCTAACGTAGTGAGTAATTGCCCATGCTAAGGGATTGTAAACAACTGTTATAAATTGATCTGAAGACTGAGAAACCGTACATATACTAATGTTGCTCAGAAGACATGAGGTAAGATCTAGATTCAAATCGTTTTCCAGTAATTCACTAAAATAAATAAAAAAATTAAGCTGTTGATGACAATATAATTATTTATGTACTTACTCGACAATTGTTCCTAATCCATTTTCAGCATATTCAATTCCTCTAGTTAGTCTTCTAACATAGTCATTCGCAACATGTTGCTTCTCTGTGCCAGTGATGGCATCGTGGTGTTGCATTATGCCCATCACTTCTCTCAAATATCTTAAGTTTTCATCAAAAGTTTTATTAGTAAGGAAGGAATTTTGAGCGAACAACTGTTTGGTAGCCTAAAAAGGAAAATTGGATATTTATTTATTTATTTATTTATTTATTTATTTATTCCAGAAACAAACAGGCATGAGCCTAATTACATGTTCCTATAAATACAGCGAAAATAGAAATCAACAAAAATACATAATATCTAATTAAATATATAAGTGAAATTATAATAAACAAACCTCGCTACTACAAAATTTTAACAAAGTTCATTAAAGAATAAAACTACTTAAATAATCAGAAATATTCAGGAATAATCAGAGCGTCTGCAAAACCCCACACCAAGGCCACGGAAATCCTACAAGGTTATGTCTCTTTAATCAAGCCCAACAATTTTGTTAAGTTCCTTTCTATATGTGCTTATAGCTACATCAAAAATACCGCAACAAATGCCTTCGGAGTGTACATTAAACAAAAGGCAAATTTTTTCTACTGGACCATGATTATCCGCACGAAAAGTTAATTGACGGGGACAAATACCTGCTATTGGAACATTGATTTTTATTTGACTCAATAAATATTGACTGTCCAAATATCCATTTAATAATTTATGTTAAAAGACAAGGTTGATTATAGAGATATATTACTGGTTATAATTTATTACCCTAAATTGTAGCACATGCAGAAATTAGTTAATGAAATCTGGACCTTAGAGCCAAAGAGTATTATGTCCATTTTGCAGAATATTACAGGAGAGCTTGTTGAAACTTTTGACTGCCTGTATTTTTAATTGGACTTAATATTGGATATATTGGATATATCTGGAAAATTAAACATAATAAGACTTAATACTTAGCACCAATGGAAGGAGCAGGAAAAATAATGTCGGAGTAACCAAAAACTTGAAAATAAAAAAAAAGGTGGACTTAATACTGTTTGGCTCTGAGTTCCAGAAATAGATATTTTAGTGCGTGTATTGCTTAAAATTGCTTTTTAAGTAATTTTAATTATTTTTTTACTTGATAAGTCAGTAGATCAGTTCTCAATATCAATATTTATCTTTTTTATATAAAAACATATGAATTGAACACTTTATTTAGGAACTAATGAATATGAATGTGTAAAAGATGCAATTTTGCTATAAGTGGGAAGGAGTATAAATTATGTGGGTACTTCATTAAGTGTTCATCATTTAACAATAATTTGAATTGTTAGAAAATGTAGGAAAACTAAATCACATGACATAAAACGTGGCCAGGGCAGAAAAAGAGCCAAAAGTCAAAAGGTGTTAAGGAACCAACAATTAAGAAGTGAAAAACTAAGTAATTAACTTGAAACTGCTAGAAAGATTCCGTCAGGAAAATACTAAAAGAAGCCTCTGCACACATCACAGATTATGAATATTGGACTATCCATGACTGAAAGAGAGTTTTAATCATAGATAAAAGCAAGATAGTCATGACAGAGCATGAAAGAGAGCCGGAGAAAGCTTCTGCGATTGCACTATCTTACCAAGGGGGTTGATAAAAAATTTTCTGAAACAAATTTGTATTGACGCACGCACAGAATAAGTACCCAGTTTTCTGCGATCCATGAATGCAGTAATCTATCTGGAAAACATTGTTATGCCGTTCGCGCCTTTTATCTGTAATACATTCATTTTTATGCAAGATATGTAATACATCATTTTGCAAGACTTGTGTTAGATTACCAAAATGAGGTTAATATTAAAATTATAGAAGGCTTATCGTGGAATTTAGATTTGAATCCATTCGTGGGATATTCTAAAACAATCAGTCCGGCATCATTAACCTGCCTCAATAGGTCTTCAAGAATTGAAGCATGTTGTTCTCTTAGAATAAGCAAACATACTTCAGAACTTTTATATTTTATTTGTTGCCTGTGACAATCAAAAAGGTATTTTCATAGATCATATTTCAGTACGTCTAGACCACTGATCTGTAGTAAAATAATACAGATCAGTGGTCTAGACATGCTACAGTAGATATGATCTATTTCAGTCAGAGTTATGCAAAAATTCCAAAATATTTAATCAAAGACAACACTAATATTTTAATTTGTACAGACATAGAAAAGAGTAATATTTTTAACTTCTACCTAACATAATGTATCTCACTCACACAGTGCAACTAAAGTAATTTAGATGGTTATAAAATAACTGTCATCAAATTATTCAATATTCATTACAACACTACGTTTCAGTGCTCTAATCTGGCATTTTACATTTAAATGCAAACAAATCTTCTCGAATTAAATCGAAAAATAAATTTGTACACTTCAATTTCCATGGATTTTTATTGGGGAAAAGAAAAATATACTTACTTGAAGAATATTATGGCCAGTTCTTTCAAACCTTTTGGAATTAGGCCTGGAAGTAAAGTATCCAGTCCAAAATGAATGTATATCGTTACTGTATGGGAAAAAATCATCTGTTTTTAGCGTCAACTCTGTATCAATTGCGTCATTTACGGCTTTTATGTAACAAGATGGCGTTGAATAGATGACGTTTATTTCAGAATTTCCTTCGAATGCCCTAAAAATATGTATGCAGGTTTCTGTAAGTGTTTATTTTGTTACTAACATTACTTACTTTATAAACTTGTCCATATTGTTGTAATTTTTTTCAGCAGCTTCAAATTGAAAATCACCACCCATAGGAATAATGATATTATTGGTAGAAAAATAGTTTGCATATCGTTTAGCAAGTGTTGTAAAGGTTTTGACCTAAAATTAAAATTTACTTGAAAACGATGAATATTATTTTTTGATATATTTTTATAGTTTTACTTACTTTGTCATCAACATTGTAAAATGGGCTATTGGGATCATCATCGATGGTATCATCCGCACAATTATAGTCCCAGCAAAATCCGTTTGGTGGAAAGTATAGGTCTGTTGCAAATATGCTTCCAAAAATAACACTATTATCTATAAAATATAATTTTTAGATGTTTAAAGAGGTTTTTACATAAAAAGCTTGAATTTAAAAAAGTCACCACATAATGTATATAAATTTATTACAATATTAAATCAACCCAAACTATAAATAATTACTCTGTTCCATCAGAGGTTAGAAACGAGTCAATTGCATCAGGATTTTGTACAGTAGAATATTGGGACGGTCAAATTATATAATGCGCAGTGATTTGTGATTTACTTGTGATCGTTGTTGGAACAAAATTTATATGAATTTAAAAAATAACTTCTACAGTCAAGTAACAAGCTTAATACTTGATTTAGTAACTTTCTTCCCCCACATATAATAAGTAACCTTGTAAATGGTTTTGGAGTCTGTCCAAGAGAGTTGTACGTCTCCAGTGGCAAAATAGGCTTCACAGCATACATCTGTGACAAATATACTGGTATTTTCCTAACTTTGTTTACTGTACTCTTTCAATCGGTTCCTTTTCTAATTTACTATTCCTCTTTTGACTAGGTGTCATGTATGGATCATAGTGTAGTTATGTCTATCGTTCTTCAAACTTCTGGTCTAGGGTGGATTTAGAGGCAGAGTCCTTTTTCCTCTTTAAAAATTAATTTCTCTAAACTAACTGTCTTAGATTCTTTATAACGAATCATAACCTTAGAATCCAAACATAGTCGTTAGACCCTATTTAACAATATTTATGTTACGATTCCTGTCATTATATGTACTGTCACTTGTCATTGTCCTCATATGTCATGCGAGCTGGTGATTATCAATAATCAATTTTAATGAAGATACTTCTGTTCTTTTAAGTGCTGATCTTTTCACCTCTGAGTAAAGTTACACGTAGGTTTATTGACAGATTAGCTAACAATAGTCTGTAGTTTAATCAGCAAGTGGTTACTTTAAACTTTACTTAAAGATGAAAAGTCTGTCCCTAATCGTAATGGTTTAACTACTTTTTTGTTAGTCAAAATGATTTTGTAAATTCGTAAAACATTGTAGGAAGACTGATATGACTCCTGTTTAGCCAGAAGCTCAAATCAAACTTTATTCACATTAGATATTTTACCAAATTGATGTAGCTGTCTCATTCTTCACTTCATGTTTAGTATATATACTATTCCCAGTTGTTTTATATATACGACACTATAAGTGACTAAATGAAATGGGATTTATAGAACTTTTTGTACATTTTAAAATATGCAAGTAAATGAAAATTTGGTATAGTTCGATAATCAAATATTATAAACCTATATTAAGATTCAAAATACACATATTATTGAAACACATTGGATTTGTTTGTAAAAATTTTATCCATTTCTATTTTACCTAGATTTTGGCTTCCCTGCCAAGCAAAATCCATGCTTTTATTCTTCATTCTGTGAATCTTATCATCGTGATCCAATCTAGCGAAAATCATAGCATCATATCCAAATTGAGACAACAGTGATGCCTGTTCTCGACTGTGACCGAATGGATCAATTTGCCAACCAACTCTAGGTCTTCCACAGTCTCCGACAGTTTCGCTCAAAGTCCTACAAAATATTTTTCACTAAATAAAGTAGAAGACTACTGACTAAGACTGATATTAATGTCAAACAAAAGTTATTGAGCAAATTTGCACTCACAATCTCAAAATTTAAATTATATTGTGTAAATATAAATGTTTTAATTAAATATGATGAACCACAAGGATACAGCCTACGATTCTTATTTTTTACGTTAAATGAATGATAACTGATATTAAAACCTTAAAGATTTAATAATTGATGATAATAGTATGCTACAAATAGAAAACAAAAGGGTCTTTCATAATCGTTCATAATATACCTATAGAGGAGGTTGAAGATGTGCTATTATTTACTTTCTTTTAAAAGAATTTACCTTTATATTTGTTCCGCTCCTGAACATGGATATTATGATTGTCATTGATACTTAATAAAAAATATATATATTGTCATACAAACGGCAAATGAGTAACATATCAATTTATACAAACATAATATAAAGTTGAAACAGAATCAATCATATTTTTGGTCCTTCAAGCCGGATTTATTAGTATATCTGCGTACAAAATGACAAGTTGTTTTTTTGTAAGGTAACAATAACAAACTGAAGTAACAAAAAATACAATTAAGTATATAAAAAAACAATATTTACCTTAAACCCCAAGTAAACTGATCAATGGTTGATTGATAGTTGGCACAAGCTTCATCGTTCATGGACCATGCTCCGTTGGCCATCTCTATTTGACCGTTCTCTACCAATTTTTTGTAGTTGTTTCTTGTATCTTCGTTCTGATGTTTCCACCATAGCCAGAAATATTGTGTTTCAACTTGCATAAACCTACAAAAAATACAATTTTTGGAATGCGATGAGAGTGCCTCGTTGTAGTTTGACTCTATTTAAACTAATATAGCTTTTGAACTAAAGATTGTAAAAAATTTTCCTTCTAATTTAAATTGTCATAAAGCATTTATCATTTGGTGTGATGCACAAGACATCGGATCTACGTCAATTCATCGCCCGACAATTCATCGCGCGAAAATTTAGAGCCGACATTTCATCGTAAGACGATTCATCGCTACGACAATTCACCGCCACGACAATTTGTCGCCAGCCATTTTTTAGAATTCATTTTATGGTTTATTTTATTTTTTTTATTATAATCAAAATTTTATTTTATATATTTTTTAGTATAGGTAATAAAAAACAAGTAGGTATATTGAAAAAAAAATATATTATAAAAAATTGTAGTTGCTAGTTATTACATTTTAAATTGAATTAATATAATATAATAATATTAAATAATTTAGACTTGCATTCGAAAATTATGCGCAATTCCTCGAAGATATTCCATGGTATTACGAGCGTCGTAGGATTCTGTAAGTAGTTTTAAACGACGTGCAGAATCTTTGTAAATTTTTTTTTTAGTAATTTCATTACCTGCCACAATTTGCTCTATTTTCAATTTGTTAAGGCTTTCCTCCTTTTGTAAAGCCTTAATTAGCCTCCAAATGTTGGGATGTGCAATGGAAACAATTGAACTAAAACTGTTATGCCATCCTTCAATTGCATTATTGGTTCTAGCAATTCCCTCTCTGGCTGCATTGTAACAATTCCAAGAAGATATAGGAAATTTTGGTAACCGTCTTCTTCCTCTTCTGTCTAATCTACCAATCCACGTGTCTTCAAAATAGTTTATTAAATCTGCTCGTTTTCTGCATAGAAGTCACTTTCCAATAATAAATCAAAAGCACTCTCTACATCGTCTTCAGGAACATAAGCAAGTGCAGCCAGAAGTCGCAAATTTGATGAAAACACTTCTTCATCCACATATCGCCTCTGAAATCCGGTATTCTGGATTTGTCTCCATATACACTGAGAAAAATGAAAAAAGCATCCACGAATTTGAGTATTAGGGAATTCACTTCGTACCGCATTCATCGCTGCTTTTTCGAAATCCATTAAAAAAGATGTAGGGCAAAGTTCAGGTTTAAAATTTTTTAATGCTGCATATAAACGTCTATAGCTTTCTTCTCTTTTATTCGGCAGAATTGCATATACTGTTGGAATGGTATTTGAATATTTGACGCCATGGGTTGTATATATTTGGGAAAACATATTAGGGGCTAACAAAGTTTACATCCTTTTTTGTTAGTATAAATTTAATTTCATTCCACCACGGCAAATAATACATGAGAAATATGCTGAGTAATGTAGCAGCTATTGCAAGAAATAAGGATGATATTTCTATACAAGAGTTATACAATTTATTAATGATTGCAAACCAGCAACAAACCAACGAATTAAAATTAGAAATAAATTCTTCAATTCAACAAGTAAACAAAACTATTGAAGCCACAAATAAAAAGGTATCTTTAATTGAGAACCACACTAAAATTATCGACAGAAAGTTAAGGCGAAATAACATTATCGTTTTTGGATTAACACTTGAAAGTACGACAAATTTATCAAGTGATGTACTATTGAGAGTAAATGAGTTACTACAAATTAATATAACAGATAACGATCTAAATAATATCTATAAAATAAAAGATGCTGCTAAAAGCCATATAGTGATTGAATTTATCTCTTTCTTGAAAAAGAAAATTGTGTTATTTCAAGTGCAAAAGTTAAAAGGCACTGGCATATACATTACAAATGATATGAACTATAATGATAGATGTATCCAAAAAATTTTGGTAAAACACCTTAAAAATGCTAGATCTCGGAACCTTCCTGCCAGAATTATTAAGGGTCAGAAATTAGAAATAAATGGTAGATCATACACGGCTCAAGAGTTAGAAACGCTCCCAAGAAAAAACACGGACTCGGATGATGATGACGACAATAATACACAATCTGGAGTAGCATCTCAGTCAGAAGATCAATCTGACACTTCTGAGAACAAGAGAAAACCTAAGAAAAGTCCCACAGGAAGAAGTGTGAGAACAAGAAATCAGAAAAATAAATAAAGTTCATTTTTGTTTTTTTTTACAAATAATTATCAAATTTAAGTTGTTTATTAATATAATTATTAGTCTCTTTTACTAATTCCTAATTCGTAACATTGTAATTAAATACAGTTCTCTTAGTTTTTAATTTTCTTTGGTGGAAAGGTGGTAAATCGTATTATTGTAAACCAAAAACAGACAATAATTTATTTTACAGGTTATTTTGCGTTTAGACTTAAATAAAATAGATAGGTATTTGGTAATTTAAAATGTATCAATTTATCAATGATATAAATTTCAATCCATTTAATACCACGGAAGTGCATACAGTCGAAGAGGTAAAGAGATATCTTAATAAAAACATAGACTCGAACTTTACTATATTTCAGCAAAATATTAGAAGTGTAAGAAAAAATTTAGATGAGTTGAAGGTCATCTTATCAGATATAGACTATTCTTTCGACTGTATTGTACTCACAGAAACGTTTATAGTTGAAAATATACATTTTTTTAATTTGGACAATTATAATTTAGTTTATAACCAGGGACAAATAAATAGTCATGATGGTTTGTTACTTTATTTAAGGAATAATATAAAATTTGAAAGTAAAATAGTTTCTATCGGTAATTTTAACTTTCTTCAAATAAAAATATATAATAATGAGTCTGATAAAAGTTTTTTAATATCTGGAATTTACAGGCCTCCTTCCACAGAGGTGAATAATTTTCTTCATTGCCTTCGAGAATATCTGGAACAAATAAAATGTAGCACAATTGAAAATCATGTATTTTTAGGAGATATTAACATTAATATATTAAATGCACATGAATCCTCAGACTACATGGATATGATGGTAGAATTTAATTTCAATTCTCTAATAAATGTACCTACACGTATTAAAACATGTTTGGATCATGTATTTTTAAAAAGCAAAATATCTAATTTAGAAGAAAATATATTAGCATTAACATTTGATGCTATGATAACAGATCACAAAGCAACTATAGTAGGATTAAAATTAAATTTTAACTGTAAATTTAAAAATGAACACAAAAATTTGGTTGAATATATAAACTACAGTGCCCTAAAACAAAAATTAAATAGTCATGATTGGACGCCCTTCTATAACTTAAATGACGTAAATATAAAAACAAATCACCTAGTTAAACTACTTAGTCAAAGTGTCGCACTTTGTACAAATGTCAAAAAAATTAAACGGACCCAGATTAAAAGAAAAGATTGGATAACGCAAGGTATTATAAATTCAATTGCCACTAAAAACATGTTATTTAACGAATATAGGAATAATCAGAACCCCACTACCCTTTTAAAATATACTAAATATCGAAATAATCTAAATCGAATTATTAGAGAAACTAAAAAAAAATTTTATAATAATAAAATAAATAAAAATAAATATAATAATAAAAATTTGTGGAAAATAGTTAGGGAAATTGATGTACCAGTGAAAAAAGATAGTATAAAAAAAATACTTACTGAAAGTAATGAAATTCTTATGAGCGAGGAAGAACAGGCCGAAAGCTTTAATATGTATTTCTCCAAAGTAGGAGAGAAACTGGCCTCAAAAATAATTCCTCCACTATCGCCCAAACCTGGAAAAAATAGCACAATACAGTCATTCTTTTTAGAACCTGTAGATATAAATGAAGTAAAAGAAATTATAAAAACGTTAAAAATAAACAAAACACCAGGGTATGATAAACTAAAAAGTGAGATATTTAAGGAAATAGTTCATGAGATTGCAAATCCCCTTAGCCATTTAATTAATAAAATTTTTGAAACAGGAATTTTTCCCACTGACCTTAAAAAATCAGTGGTTATCCCAGTTCATAAAAAAGGACCCAAAAATAAAATGAGTAACTACAGACCTATTTCCTTAATTACCACTTTATCAAAAATCGTGGAAAAAGCTTTGAAAAATAGACTAACTAAATACATTGATAAATATAATATTATAAGTTCAAAGCAGTATGGTTTCCAAAACGGCTTATCTACCACTGATGCTATGTGTCATCTAACAGATATATTGTACAGTAATATAGATAAAAGCGTTCCCACAATGTGTATTTTTCTTGACCTGGCAAAGGCTTTCGACACTGTATGTCATATGCAGCTGTTGGAGGTCTTAGAGGAAGTGGGTATCAGAGGTAAATCTTTGGACCTTTTCTCTAGTTATTTAAGTGAAAGGGTTCAAGCAGTAAAAATAAATAAATATGTAAGCTCTTATAAACCTATAAAATATGGTGTCCCACAAGGTACTATACTCGGGCCAATTTTATTTCTCCTATATATTAATAAATTATTAGTTTCAAAAGAAATAAAAGGAGAAGTAATAAGCTTTGCGGATGACACATTAATCTTATACTCGGCTAAAACTTGGGACGCAGTTAAAGAACTTTGTGAAAATGATTTAAAAAATGTGTTTGATTGGTTTTCGCATTACAAATTAACAATAAACATGGATAAGACATTAGCCATTCCGTTTGCAAGCTATAAAGCAGGTCTTCCTAAATTGAATAAACTTACAATCATAAATCATGGACACCAAATAAATATTTTCCTCAAACATGAGGCTAAATATCTAGGAATTCATATAGATTCTCATTTGAAATGGGATAAACACATAAATAACATTGTAAATAATTTAAGACAAGTTTTATATAAATTTAAATATATGAGAAATTGTTTAGACATAACTCACCTGAAAATTTTATATCACGCATTTGTGGAGTCACGTTTATCATATGCCATATTAGTCTGGGGCTCAGTTTTGCTGACCCACCTAAAAAAACTTGAGATCATTCAAAAAAAAATAATTAAAATAATGTATTTTAAAGATATAACTTACCCTTCAGACCTATTGTTTCAAGAAACACATATTTTTGATATTCGACAACTCTTCGTTTATAATGTTGCAAACTATCTTTACAAAAATAGATCTTCAATCTGTGGAATTGAACACACTTATGAAACTCGAACTAGACATGCAGGAAATACTAGAATTCCTATTGCCAAAAAAGCATTAGGTCAGAGGAAACTGAGTTATTTAGCAAAAAAAATTTATAACTTTTTTCCAGATATTTACAAACTGTACATAAGGACTATAAATTCATATAATCTTTTTAAGTCTAGAATAAAATCATTTCTTAAAATTACCGATAGAAATATATTACATTCTTTGGTAGATAGTTGTAGTTAGTTTAAAATATTCGAATTAAGTAAAAAAAAAAAAATGATAAAAAAAAACATTAGGTACATTACATTACTTCATAGCTATAATTTATATGTATATTATAATGCTGTTAAAAGAAAAAATTAATAAATAGAGCAAATAATTTAAATAAATTATCAAGCCCATGCACAACCCTTAGGTTTTATGGGTCACCTGTGTTTATTTACAATATTTATTATATTTGTAATTTTTATTTTAGCGTATCATTGTAAAAACAAGTTATCTGTAAATAAACATTATTATTATTATTATTATTATTATTATTTGAATATTTGACGCCATGGGTTGTATATATTTGGGAAAACATATTAGGGGCTGTTGAAAAAGTTCCATCTCCGTACCAGTGTTCACACTCCAACATGTAGTCAAGATTTCTTGCTGTTGTAAACACTAATATTCGATCTTCTAATGGGCCGCTGTCGTACATTAAAAATAACTGACCACTGCTTGTCAGTGTATATTCCTGTGGAATAACTAATTGAAGCAGAGAATTTGGAATCGCAGGAATTCCTTCTGTCTTTTCCTTTTTTCGTTGAATAGTTCTTTTCATTGCACTCACTTGTGGTAATCTGGCTGCAGCCGATGATGATAAATCCTCGGAAACCTTTGCAATGATTTGTTGAGTAGTGAAACCACTTTGTTCAGCTAAAACTTTCATTTTTTTTAACAGCTCTTCTTACTTCGGCATCAGCACTATCTGACACATGATTATGTTCGGTACTCTTCACAATTTCATCGCCTATGGTATGAATGCGACCGGTACATCTCCATTTATGATATAGAGAACATTTCATTTCAGACATACTGTATAAATCATAGATACAATACGATATTTTTGTGGCGATGAATTGTCGTAGCGATAAACTGTCGTAGCGATGAAACGTCGTGGCGATGAATTGTCGGCTCTGAAAGGTCGCGCGATAAATTGTCGCGCGACGAATTGACTGGATACCCAAGACATCTGTTAGTCAACTACACCAAATTCTGAGAAATAATGATCAATGCATTGATGATTGTTAATAAAAATGATAATTTAAATCCCATAATGTTTAAAATATTTTAATATTACTTTCCAATACTGATTAAATGACATATCGCAATAATATATATCATGCATAAGACTGAAATTATTAGCTAAGTAGAGGTCTGAGTAAAATGAAGAGGGGCTCATCGATATTTTTAAGTTAAACAAAAGAGTGGAACGATTGCGTTTTGGAGAAACATTGAAAGGTACGAATGCTAATAAATTATTTGATGTATTTTGATTATTCATTAAACTAAACAAAAACTTCATTATAGCTTGCTTATACGTCTAAAGACAAGGGACGTTATTTGGAATTCTGTTCTAAGTATTTGTGTTCTTACATGATTATAATCGGGCCAACGGTGTAATTTTTTGTAGTATAAATACCGAACAAACTTGTTTTGGGGTTTTCCGAGATTCTCAAGATATATTTGTTGTTCTTGTATCCAAATTATTAAAGCAAAATCTAATTTTGAAAATACAAGAGTATTGAAAAGAGTTCTGATTAAAGATAAATTCGTGAATGAAGATGTTTGAATATAATAAAGCCAAGCATTTTATTTGCACTTTTATTTATTTTTTCTATATGAGGCTTAAATGATAATTAATTATTATAGGTAACGCCAAGATCTTTAATTTCGGAGACCCTGTTTAATAGATCAGTATCCACTGTGTAGTCAAAAATAATCGGCTCTTTCTTGCGACAGATTGTCATGCCAAAGCATTTATTTATGTTAAAATACAATTTATTATGGGTACCTCCATGAACAAACATTATTATTATCTCCCTGAAGTGCTACACAATCTCTGAAAAAAGCGGATAAGCCAGTCAAATAGATTGTTTAAAAAACTAATGTACGAACCTCGATTTATCATTCTGTGATGCCACACCCCCGTTCCTAGCAACCCGATGAGACCACCGTTTTAGTACACGGACCATAGGTTAAACGGACAGATCATAAACTAGTGACCTCTGGTGGATTTTTTAGAGCTATCCTCATTTTAGGGATATAGTTTCTTTTGTTTTCATAAGGGATTTGATCGAAGTTAAAACTGTCATCTTGCGTAAAAATAACCTCGGGTTACTCAATCTTACTTGTTTGACCGATGCAAGTCGTTTGGACGAGGTCATTTTCATCGTAGAGGAGATTTGGTCCATTACAGTAATTGGCGAGTGCTGTTTGTGTCAGTAGTCATGTTTTCAATCCTTTTTCAGGCAGGTTGGTATATTTTTTAGTAGTATGGACACATCACATACACGCAAACACATACATTACATACATTACCTTCTATCTGGATTTTCTAATAATGCTTCGTACACTGATGTTATGATATATTGAACTCCGGCGTGTTGGGTATTGGTGTTCACTAAAAGTATTTAAAAACTATTAAAGCTTTTCGAATCACTAATTTGATTAATTATAAATATAAGTTCTTTGATATGATTGGTTAAATCTACTACGGTTAGGAAATTATCCACTTTCTTAAAATATGGATCTGGTTTGGGAAATCTATTTCAACTAAAGAAAACATTAAAATCAAAATAAAGACAAGAAAAAAAATATGATGTGTCCAACACATGACTTTCCTATCTAGGTATTACAGGCTTTTTCTGGTTATTTTGTACAATCTATTGCAGCATCTCTATAAATGTTTAGAGGATAAACTAAATATATACATTGTCCACATACATTTTTCTATAGATATTCATTGAAAATGAAAATTCTGAAAAATTTAAATTTAGCACTTTTCCTACAATTTTTCCATTACGGTCCATTTTAAAAAAATCATGTATAAACAAATATTATAGAGATCGATATCGCAAACAACTTTTATTTCAACAATTTTCATAAAAATCAGAATTTTGCACATTTTGTCAAATTTTTCGAATACGGACCATTTCAGGAAATTTTTACATAAAGCAAAAATTATAGATAATAATATTAGAAGTAACTTTTATTTGAACAATTTTTTTCTTCAAACATAAATAACAGATATATTCCATAAAATATAAAAACGGCCTCCCATAAAGTACCCCCCCAGATGTTCCGACTTTGTCCAAAATCTAATCATTTCACGTCAGGCCGAAATAAAACTTAAGTTTAAAATTTAATGTTTTTTTCTTTATCCATTTTTGAGTTTTCTTCAAATTTCGAAATTTACACATTTTCTCAAATATCTCGAATACGGTCCATTTTAGAGAAATTATCTATAGGATAAAAATTATAGAGAATTATATTACAAACAACTTTTGTTTGAACAATTTTTATAAAAAAAAATATTTTTTTACATTTTGTAAAATTTCGCGAATACGGACCATTTTAGGAAAATTTTGTATATAACAAAAATTATAGATAATTATATTAGAAGTAACTTTTATTTGAAGAATTTTCTTCTCCAAACGTAAATAACAGATATATTCCATAAAATATAAAAATGACCACCTATAAAGTACCCCCCCAGATGTTTCGACTCTGCCCAAAATCTAATCAGCTCATTGGACGCTGAAACAAAGCTTAAGTTTAAAATTTGGTGTTTTTTTGTGTATCGGTTCATGAGTTATGCGTTATACAGACACACACACACACACACACACACACACACACACACACACACACACACACACACACACACACACACACACACACACACACACACACACACACACACACACACACACACACACACACACACACACACACACACACACACACACACACACACACACACACACACACACACACACACACACACACACACACACACACACACACACACACACACACACACACACACACACACACACACACACACACACACACACACACACACACACACACACACACACACACACACACACACACACACACACACACACACACACACACACACACACACACACACACACACACACACACACACACACACACACACACACACACACACACACACACACACACACACACACACACACACACACACACACACACACACACACACACACACACACACACACACACACACACACACACACACACACACACACACACACACACACACACACACACACACACACACACACACCACACACACACACACACACACACACACACACACACACACACACACACACACACACACACACACACACACACACACACACACACACACACACACACACACACACACACACACACACACACACACACACACACACACACACACACACACACACACACACACACACACACACACACACACACACACACACACACACACACACACACACACACACACACACACACACACACACACACACACACACACACACACACACACACACACACACACACACACACACACACACACACACACACACACACACACACACACACACACACACACACACACACACACACACACACACACACACACACACACACACACACACACACACACACACACACACACACACACACACACACACACACACACACACACACACACACACACACACACACACACACACACACACACACACACACACACACACACACACACACACACACACACACACACACACACACACACACACAGACAGACAGACAGACAGACAGACATCATCGCGAAAATAGTCAAAACGGATTCAGGGGACCTCAAAACGTAAAAATCCGTCGAAAACTCGAGGTCGAAAAAAATCATGATTCCTATACTTTCCTTATATCTGTATACAGATAGGAAAGTAAAAATATAAACTGTGTAACAATAAACAACAACAATTCCAATGATCTGTGCCGATAAAAACGCCAAATGGAACAGATGGCTAAGGAAAAATAGAGAAAAACAGTACAACAATCGAAGATTAATATTTAGTGTATTATACTTACTGCCATAATAATACTGATCTACTGTCTTCAACCATCCCACGTCATCATGGGAATGCGGTATCAAATGTACATTTATTTTATTATCGACCACGGGATGGCAAACCAAACAACCCACTTTATTTTCATCTTTAACAGGATTGGCTACAATTCCTGTTAAAGATACGCACACTAAAATTATCACCCTTAAATCCATTTTATATTCTTATCCGTGCCATGTATAAATGAATAATATACAAATTCACTAATATGTACCTATGATCCTAAGTGTCTGATTTTTGTACTTGACATTATTAATTAAATATATTTGAATAATCATAGATAAATGACTGATATCGTTTATCAAAGATCTTGAAATGGTCGAGAGGAGAAGTATAATCTAAAATAAAATAATTTAATTTTAGAGACCTCTTTAATTCCCGTTACTTTCTAGTAGTTTTACCTATATCTAAGTCATACTTTTATTGAGGAAAATTCGCTAAATTAACGGTTCCCATCTCAAATATGGTTTGAGATCGAAATACGTATTGAAACGTGAAATTTAAATTTTGTGAACTATTTGCGATACTTATGCTAAACCACGTAAATGATTTACACATTGTTAGCACTGTTATTAAAAACCATTTTAACGTCGCCTTTTAATAAGGATTTACAAATTATTCACAATTATTGAAAAACTATTTGGGCCCCTTTTCCCTTAAGCATGCCCATGCAAAAATATTTAATTCTTTTAAACCCCATTAACCTCCAAAATCAAAATATTTCGTTTCCATTCTATTTACTCATGTCTGTACAGAACAATCAGAAAGAGGAAAATACTCATGGATTATGACAAATAACGAATGCAAGAACTGTTATTGACATCGATGAACAAATTAGTTTAAATCCAATGGAAATCGGAACATTTATTCTAAAAACACAAAAAAAGTCCAACTCTGCAAATGGGCGCAATTTTTGTTTTATTTCGTTCGGTATTTTATTCTTAATTTTGTATTTATTTTAAATAAATAAACAAATGTAAATGTTTATTATAATGTTTTTTACTAACACTAACGTTTACTGTACAAGTATAAATGGCTTTTTCACTTTGAACCTTCTATTGTCCAGTGTTTCTGTACCTCTTTCATTAGATTCAACTTCTCAGAAGTGGCCCTGGGAAACAAATGGTTTCCCAAAACGCAAAGCTAATAACCTTAGTTGTTTATACCAATAACATAAATAAAATAATTCTGAATTCACATTTTTCAACTTAGGTTATATTGAAACAAGGTAAGTTAAAAATGATAGAGAAGAAGAAAATTTAAAAAATCTGTATTTTTAAAACAATGTCCACAATATATTTTTAGTTATTTATAAAAGATATGCTAGGATAGCTATTAAAATTATTATCGACGTTACTGGTTTCAACATGACTCCAAAATCATCTACTGGAATATCTTGCTTGTTCGTTAATTTAACAATAAATGTCCTAATCTGCATGGGTTTAAGTGAGATAGGTGCTAGAGCATCATCATCATCAGCTTCGCCTGTTATCAATGTTTTAGAAACTTGAGGTTTGTTCGTTTTCCAGGTGTACTTCTTTCTTCTCTGGTAATGTGCTAATAATTCGTTAGCTGCTAAAGTAGTTTCGGTCATTTTTTCTATGGCAAAATGTTTGAAAGCATTCTAAAAAATTAATTTATCTTCAAACCGAAACGTTCTTTAATATTTTCAAAGCATACAAATGGTAGAAAAAGTGGTATAAAATGTAAATAAAGTAAGGAATGTGATAGAATAAAAGTAAAACCAATCAAAAAGGATAAAAAACAAACTAAAATTTTAATAAATTTAAATCAGAAATGGATAATGTTTACAGGATATCAGCCCACACTGTACCGTTTGTTAAGAGGTTTTTAGCTAAGTATTTAGATACCTGTATTAGAACATTTACCCTATACCCCAGATTCCTCCTCATGTGATTTTTGTTATTATCCAATGTCAAATCAGAATTGGAAAGGCCTAGATTTAAAAGAGTGAAACTGTCGAAAAAAAGAGACAGGGACCATAAGCATGCTTTCAAAAAATGATTATCAGCACTACAATTGCTAATGGAAAATTCGGATTGTTCAATATAAAATTCCCTAAATTTACTTACAGCAATATCTACAGTAACTGATTTTGATAAGTTAACATCATCATTCTTCTCCATGATGTGTTCCAACCTTAAAAGATATTCCTTTTCTGTCCATGGTTCAAACGTCAGAATATTTACATTTTCTGGAAGGGATGATTCTAAGCCTTCATACTAAAAAAATTGAAAAATTATTTAAATGTTTTTTATTATGATTTTCCTACTTACTGTTAATTTGGCATCTTCTTTCAATTCATCATACGATTTATCAGTTTCAGCGACCCCTATCCAGGGCTGGACCAGTTTCTTTTGGGCCAAAATACGTTCCAAAGCAGCTGTTGTTTTACCTGAATCAATAAACATATCAATTATTTTGCTTATATTTAAATTATTTATTATTCACCATTAGCATTGGAACCGCTAGCCTTTCCTACTATCAAATAGTGAGATCCTCTAACATAGATTCCCCTCTGAAATTCTACTTCGTTTAAACTCTCCCCAACTCCTTTGCCATCATCTTTTAAAAGTCTTCTATGTACCTAAAAATCCATATATTATTGTAGAAGTTAAAATTTTCAAAATTAAAAATAGTGTAATTAGCACTAAAAATATATCTTTACTATTAGAGTAGAAGGGGAATAAAAACAGAAATTGAACAGATCAATGATCCGAATACTTTGATTCACTGTATAGAAGCAGGTTATTAACTTTGAATACCTGCTTTAGGTTTTAACTGCATGTAATTTGCTATTACTAGTAGCATCTTTGCTTTCTTTCTAATGTAGGTCTTCCTTTGATAGACACTTTAATTTATTTTAGTAATTCGCCGAAAAAACATATTTACCATCAATTCTAATTCATTGGTTTTCAAACTAGATCCACCTTGCGATCTATCGGTCAATACAGCAATTTCTATGTCTTTACTGTCATCTTTCATAACTATTTTAGAAGTTACCGGGTAATAATTTCCAGCAACAGGCTCAATAGTTGCGTTATAACTGTAATCCGGTCTACTGTTTTTAGTTCTTTTTAACATTTCTCTACCGTTTGAATCTGTGTAGAAGTTGTTACCATTGTTAAAATCGTCAGTTACGGTAAATTTGGTGATGATTTCCTTGCCTTGTCGAACCTTTGTACTTGAGAAAGAGAAGTATGATAATAGTATAAATAAGTATAAACTGATAAAGCTTTTAGAAGGGTAGCTTCTTTGAACAATTGCTCATTCTATTATTAATATTAAAAATATTATCATTAACCTCGACTTACACATCAATATTACCAACGATCCAGTCAAATTCCAAATAATCCTCATCATGGTACCACCTAATAATCTGGAGTATGTCCACAGCACCTTCAGTCCACTTCTGATGGACTTCATCCACAACATTACCATTAATACTGTAAGTAATTTCAATGTTATCAAGAGATTCAGGTTCTTCCTTAGTAGGCCTAAAAATATAAGCTCCAGAAGCAATAAACGAATAATCATCTTCTCCAGTTTCACTGAAGTAATATTTAAAATTTTGAGTAAGACCATAATTATTGCCATTTAGGGTAACGGAAGCCAAAAGGTTGTTGTTACCAATTTTAAAAGCTTTTGATTTGAATGTATCGGTTGATTTATCTTCTGATAGTTTATCAGATGTTTTCTTGACGTGGTAAATTTTAAGACCCAGTGGAGGTAGTTCTTTAGCTGCAAATACTAGTTCATATGCGCTTGGTGTACCTTCTTTTAGTACAACGTAGTTAAAATCGTTTATAGTTGGTATTAAATCGTGAGGTATATCTAAAAAGATAGAAATTGAATAACAAATATAGAGAAAGATTGTGACTAATTAATTAGTTTTAAAAAATCATCTTCACAAAACGAAAGACACGTTCCTAATTTATGTCAGAGTTTACAAGAGAAACTTACCACCTCCATTTACTTCATATGTTCCTTCTTCTACTGGTAGCCTAACGTAGTGAGTGATTTCCCATGCTAAGGGATTGTAAACAACTGTAATAAATTGATCTGCAGACTGAGACACCGTACATATACTAATGTTGCTCAGAAGACATGAGGTAAGATCTAGATTCAAATCGTTTCCCAGTAATTCACTAAAATAAATAAAAAAAATTAAGCTGTTGATGACAATATAATTATTTAATTACTTACTCGACAATTTTACCTAATCCATTTTCAGCATATTCAATTCCTCTAGTCAGTCTTTTAACATAGTCATTAGCAACATGTTGCTTCTCTGTGCCAGTGATAGCATCGTGGTGTTGCATTATGCCCATCACTTCTCTCAAATATCTTAAGTTTTCATCAAAAATTTTATTAGTAAGAAAGGAATTTTGAGCGAACAACTGTTTGGTAGCCTAAAAAGGACAATTGGATATATTGCTGGTTATAATTTATTGTCATAAATTGTAGCACAGTCAGAAATTAGTCAATGAAATAGATATTTTGGTGCGTCTATTGCTTAAAATTGCTTTTTAAGTAATTTTAATTATTTTTTTACTTAATAAGTCAGTGGATCAGTTTCCAATATTAATATTTATCTTCTTCTATATATATATATATATATATATATATATAAAACAAATATGAATTGAACATTTCTTTTGGGAACTAATAAATATGAATGTGTAAAAGATGCAATCTTGCTATAAGTAGGAAGGAGTATACATTATGTGGGTAATTTATTAACTATTCAACAATTATTTGAATAGTTAGAAAATTTAGGAAAACTGGATTATATAATATAAAACGTGGCCAGGGCAGAAAAAGAGCCACAAGTCAAAAGGTGTTAAGGAAGCAACAATGGAGAAGTAAAGAGCTAAGTAATCAACTCGAAACTGCTAAAAATATTGGAATTTCTACTTTACTCGTCAGGAAAATACTAAAAGAAGCCTCTGCACACATCACAGATCATGAACATTGGACTATCGATGACTGGAAGAGAGTTTTGTTCACAGATAAAACCGGAGTAAGTATAAATTCTCAAGATGGTCATGATGGAGTATGAAAGAGAGCTGTAGAAAGGTTTTGTGATTGCACTATCTTTCCATGGGGGTTGATCAAAAATATTCTGGAACAAATTTGTTTTGACGCACGCACAAAATAAGTACTCATTTTTCTGCCATTTATAAATGCAGAAATCTATCTGAAAACATTGTTATGCCGTTCACGTCTTTTATTTGCAATATATTTATTTTTATGCAAGATATGTAATACGTCACATCGCAAGACCTGTGTAAGATTACCAAAATGAGATTAATATTAAAATTTTAGAGTGCCCATCGCAGAATTCAGATTTGAATCCATTCTTGGGATATTCTGAAACAATCATTCCGGCGTTATTAACCTGCACCAATGGGCCTTCAAGAACTAAAGCATGTTGTTCTCTTAGAATAAGAAAACATACTTTTATATTATATTTTCGATGATGTTGCTTTTGACAATCAAAATGGTATTTTGATAGATCATCTTTCAGTACGTCTAGACATGCTAAAGTAGATATGGTCTATTTCAGTCAGAGTTATGCAAAAATTCCAAAACATTTAATTATAGATAACGCAAATATTTTAATTTATACAGACAGAAAAGAGTAATACTAACTTTTAACTTCTTCCTAACATAATGTATCTCACTCACACAGTGCAACTAAAGTAATTTAGATGGTTATAGAATAACTATCATCATTACAACACTACGTTTCAGTGCTCTAAGAGCCTGGCATTTTACTTTAAATTCAAACAAATTTTTTCGAATAAATTTGAAAAATAAATTTATACACTACAATTTCCTTTAATTTTTATTGGGGAAAAGAACAATATACTTACTTGAAGAATATTATGGCCAGTTCTTTCAAACCTTTTGGAATTAGGCCTGGAGGTAAAGTATCCAGTCCAAAATGAATGTTTATTGTTACTGTACGGGAAAAAATCATCTGTTTTTAGCGTCAACTCTGTATCAATTGCGTCATTTACAGCTTTTATGTAACAAGATGGCGTTGAATAGATGACGTTTATTTCAGAATTTCCTTCGAATGCCCTAGAAATATATATGCAGGTTTCTGTAAGTGTTTATTTTTTTAATAACATTACTTACTTTATAAACTTGTCCATATTATTGTAATTTTTTTCAGCAGCTTCAAATTGAAAGTCGCCACCCATAGGAATAATGATATTATTGGTAGAAAAGTAATTTGCATAACTTTTAGTAAGTGTGGTAAAGGTTTTCACCTAAAATCAAAATTTACTTGAAAACGATAAATATTAATTCTTCATATATTTCGGTTATAGTTATACATACTTTGTCTTTAACATTGTAATATGGGCTACTGGGATCATCATCGATGGTATCATCCGCACAACTATAGTCCCAGCAAAATCCGCTCGGTGGATAGTATGAATCAGTTGCAAATGTACTTCCGAAAATAACACTATTATCTATAAAATATAAGTTTTATATGTACAAAAATGTTTTTACCTAAAAAAAGCTTGTATTTGGAAAAGTCACCATATAATGTATATAAATTTATTACAATATTAAATCAACCCGAATTATAAACTATTACTCTGTTTCAACAACGATCAGAAACGTTCAAGTAACAAGTTCAACACTTGATTTAGTAAATTTTGTTCCCCCACAAATATTAAGTAACCTTATCAATTGATGTACCCATCTCATTCCTCACTTCATGTTCAGTATGTACACAATTCCCAGTGGTTTTATACATAAGACACTCTAGGAGACTAAAGGAAATGGAATTTGAAGAGCTGTTTGTACATTTCAAAATATGCAAGCAAGAGAAAAGTTCGTATAGTTCATATAATAAGACTAAAATACGCAAAATGTAGAAATACATTAGGTTTGTTTGTAAAATGTTATCCATTTATATTTTACCTAAGTTTTGGCTTCCCTGCCAAGCAAAATCCATGCTTTTATTCTTCATTCTGTGAATCTTATCATCGTGATCCAATCTAGCGAAAATCATAGCATCATATCCAAATTGGGACAACAGTGATGCCTGTTCTCTACTGTGACCGAATGGATCAATTTGCCAACCAACTCTCGGTCTTCCACAGTCTCCGACAGTGTCGCTCAAGGTCCTACAAAATATTGTTCAATATATAGAGTAGAAAAATACTGATTAATAATGATATTATTATCACACAGAAGATATTGGGCAAATTTTCACTCACAATGGCAAAATTTAAATTATATTCTGTAAAATATAATTACATTTTTATTAAATATTATGAACCACAAGGATTACAGCCTGCGACTTTTATTTGATGACCTAATAATTGATGAAAATAGTACACGACTAATAGGAAGCAAAGGGGTCTTCTACAATCGTTCGTAATACCTATAGAGCACGTTAAAGATTTGTTTAATGTATGTTCATTTATCAGAATTTACCCTTATATTTGTTCCGCTACTGTACTTGGATAATATGATTGTCATTGAAACATAATAAAAACATAGATTTTTAAACAAACATGAAATAAGTACATATCAATTTATACACATTCATCCATATTTTTGGTCCTTCAAGTCAGATTTATTGGTATATCTGCATACAACACTTTCATTCGTAAAACAATCAAGCTATTAGTGTCTGGCGTGAGGCTAAATTACAAAGAGAAGACCGAAGGCCAGCGCTGCTAGTCAAAGTACAAGAAGGGAAAACCGCTGAATGAGTCGTACTCTGATAATCTTTGGTTCTTCTCATGTCCAACAAAAAGAAATCAAGAAAATTGTTAATTCAAACAAGAGATTCGTATTTAAAAAATGTATCGCTTTAAGTCATAGAACAAACTCTACATCTAAAAGTATTTGAGTCAATAGTCAGACAGTCTAATTTATAAAAGCACTTGAGAGAATTTAGGAATATACAAATAGAGTGAAAGGCAATCACAATGTGTATTGATGACGAAGAAATGGTTTCTTTTGAAGAAATTTATTATGAAGCATCGTCACAGGAAATTTTAAAGAAGTTTTATAGTAAAACAGTTGTCAGATTAATATTCTAGTATTTTAATGATTTATTTTAGCCTCGAGAATTATACAAAAATCCAAAAATTTCAATATTTAATATCATCTCAAGGATCCTCATTGAAAATATGTCAAATACTGATATTTCATAAAGAAATTAAAGAGTTGAGATTAATTTATTACAAAACGTTGTGGGAACAAATACGGGTTATATTAAATCATATTAATGCACTTTTTGAGCTTCAATAAATTCAAAAAGAAAGTTATACATAACTCAGACATTTTCTAGGCGTCAAAAAAGCGAAAATACGTGTTTTTGGAAAATTTGATGCCCTCTGCTTTTTGCATTTAACATCATAGTAACCCATTGAGATAAATTAAAGAAAATATTGTTAACGACAACTTTTATATATTATATTTTCTACTACAACTTATTTTTTTCACGAAAAAACGAATTTTATAAAAAAATAACAAGTTGTTTTTTTGTAAGGTAACAATAACAAACTTAATTAATAAAAAATATAATTATGTGCATACAAAAAAAAAAAATAATATTTACCTTAACCCCCAAGTATACTGATCAATGGTTGATTGATAGTTGGCACAAGCTTCATCGTTCATAGACCATGCTCCATTGGCCATCTCTATTTGACCGTTCTCTACTAATTTTTTGTACTTGCTTCTGGTATCTTCATTCTGATCTTTCCACCATAGCCAGAAGTACTGTGTTTCAACTTGCATAAACCTACAAAAAATATAATTTTTGGAATATGATGAGCGTGCCCCGTTTTAGTTTGACCCTATTTAGGTAATTGATAATTGGTAATTATAAGAACACAATAATGAACTAGTATGACATAAAATATTTTATTAAGTTATTAAGACAAAATAACTAATTTTAAAATAATTTATAAATTTTACTGATATTTAAAATAAAATAAACATAAAAAATTATTTAATAATTAGTCTCCATTCCATAAATTTTTGGTAAGCTAATTCATACTTTTTTCTTGAAATTAGCGGCAACAAATCTAACGTTGCTTTTTCAGCTTTTTTCAATATTTCTGGTGAATTATTATCAAAATCTTCACTACTGTCAGTATCAATATTATTTATTATAAAATAGGTACATGTCTTATTAAAATATTATTTAACGAAAATTTAGATTGCATTGCACTCATATTTTTTATAAATGGTCACTTTTTGCGAAACTGAAAAATTATCTTTCTTCTTCTGATGATTTTCGTTTGAAAAAATTGTGTTTACAAACAGCAACACTACAGCCCGCTCCAGGCATGATAGCATTTTAAATTATTTCAGGATATAAACAAAATGTGGTCCGATTTCGGCTTGTAGACCTTACCCTAACCCAAAATGTTTAAAATAAATCATTCACATAATAATATTTCTCTTTGTATTTCAAATGAAAAGTAATTTATTTGAAATTTTATAAATATCATTTTTTCTACTACCGTGCGTAAAGTACGTACTTTACGCACTCCACGAAGTGTGTAAAGTTGTACTTTTTTTCACTAGTGCGTAAAGTAAAACTCTTTACGCACTAGTTAAAAAAAGTAAAATTTGACAAAATTTGTACATAACAACAAAATATAACGTTTTATTTTATATTAACATTTTTTTGCTATCTCCTTCTAAGACAAATAAATAAATTATTTTTGCTTATATCTATTTAGTGTCCAACAAATTATCAACAGTTTATTTTAATTATAATTTTCTCTAAATGTCATCGATTTAATTAAAAGTAAACATACAGTGGATGTCGATTTTGGTAAAAGTAAGTTGGCCGTGGCTGTGTGGATTAGAAGAACTGTCAATCTCTAAACTTTTAATTAGTACCTACCTTATAACAGAACACGACAAAAGTATATTTAAGTTCAAGATTAGATTCTAAAGCCAATTTAGCATTTTTTTAAACTCAATCAAGTTTGAGAAGGTAAAAAGTTTTACTTTTTAATGTTTGTTTACTTAAATTCAAATTTTATTTGCAGTTTATTATATCTGTCATAATTGATATGGATTCAAATTTATCTAGCGATAGCGAATTTGATAATACTCCCCCAGATATCTTATGCAGTGCACAAAAGGCCACTGAAAAATTTATTGCCAGAAAAATCTGCATATATTTATCAGCAAAAATACAATGTATTTATAGAATGGTGTAGGAAGAATAAGGTGACAAAATATTCGGAAAACGTTATTTTAGCATATTTCTCTGATGAATTGAAGAATTGCAAAGCTTCTACCCTATGGTCAATTTATTCTATGCTTAAAAGCACCTTAAAATATAAAAACAACGTTGATATTTCGAAATTCAACAAGTTAATAGCGTTTCTCAAACAAAAAACTAAAGGTTATAAACCAAAAAAATCCAAAATTTTTGAACAAGATCTAATTAATTTTTTTTGAAAGCTCCAGATTCCAAGTTTTTAATGATCAAAGTAAGTAAATGCCTCAGTAAATGCTTGAATACTCAGTATAAAATTAAAATATTCTGTAAAGTTTTGCAACGAGATGTGTGTTCGTACGGTGTGTTGCCTAACAAAATCAGTTGCTGTCCTAACAGGCCACCGGGGTTGTTAGGCAGCACATTATACCTAAAACTTTTATATTTTTTACAATAGCATTTATTTGGAGTTTTACATGCGCAACGTCAAGATATTTCCTAATGTTTAATAAATTATTTGTAACATTACAATATGTTATTTTTTAGGTAGCTTTTATAATTAGAATTGCGGGAATAGAATGGAATGGAATAGAACGCATTTTTACGAATTTAAATCCAAATAATTCTGCAGTTGATTATTTATCTTTCATAAAAAAATATACCTCATTAAGACCATCAAATATAAATTGTAACAGATTTTTTTTTAAATTCGCAAATGGAAAATATTCTAAACAGCCTGTAGGGATAAATACTTTTGGTAAAATGCCAAGTGTTATAGCAACGTATCTAAACTTGCCCAATCCAACGGCTTTTACAGGACACTGCTTTAGGAGGTCTTCAGCCACTATGCTGGCAAATTCTGGAGGAGACCTTCTAACGGTCAAAAAACATGGAGGATGGAAATAATCTGCTGTTGCAGAAGGCTACGTAGACAGCACAATAACACAAAAAAACAAAATTTCTAATAAAATTTTGATGGATGACAGTATGCCATCCACTTCCAAACAAAGCTACAATTTTACCGTTGACAACTCTAATGAAGAATTAGTGGAACCACTCGACAGTAAAACTAGAGTTACACAAAATATTTCAACCTCTTTACTTGAAAAGGCCAAATCCATACCACTCGAAGCTCAAAATAGGGTTACAGAAGTAATATCACAACATTTTTCAAACTCTGTGCCGGAAAAGGCCAAAACCTTAAGTTTTGGTAATTGCAATAATTGCACATTCAATATTAATATTCATAAGAGTTAAAAACCTTTTTTTTTTAATATTTTTACTTTCCTATCTGTATACAGATATAAGGAAAGTATAGGAATCATGATTTTTTTCGACCTCGAGTTTTCGACGGATTTTTTTATTTGTTAGTCATTTTGTTCTGTAAGAATTATAAATTTGTAAAGTTCCAATAAATTTATTTTTGTTGCTGTGTACAATTTTTGGCACATTTTACTTTTTTTCACTAGTGCGTAAAGTTAAGTACTTTTTTTCACTAGTAAAAAAAAGTAACTTTTATATTTCTAATATTAGTGGATTATGTGTACGGTAGTAGAAAAAATATTGTATGCCACTCGTGTGTAAAGTCCCTTTTTTGACGAATGTGAATGTTGTCGCACGAGCCGTAGGCGAGTGCGACAATCACATGAGTAACTTTACACACTTGTTGCATAAATAACTATTTTCTTGCTGGTTTGAAGCATGTCTTTCAAAAAAAATCAAACCAATATTATAGAAACTCTAACACTGGAATATAGTCCGAAAATAAAAATATAAACAACATTAAATTAATAGAATATTAGGTTTTTAAAAAACTAATGTACAAACCGCTACAGAATATTTTCTGTTACCTTGATTTTTCATTCTGTGACGTCACTTGGGTTCAGTTGCAATAAAATAGGTTGAATTGTTTTAGCTTTTTTAATACATGTAAATAATTTTGTAAACAAAACGAGAATAATGAAATAGGCATATAACAATTGAAGATATTATACCCTCCTGTGTCCCTTAGAATATGTTTTATTCAGGACCGCACGATATTTGTTAGTAGTTACATCTCCTGTTATCTCTGGTTGGATCTATCAGTAGTCATGTTTTAAGTCATTTTTCAGCTAGGTTGTTATATTTTATACTTGATTGGACTCACACATACGCCAACACCAACATCCCTCACCTAAACCATTTATTTGTAATGAAAAAATCTAATTTTGAAAATACAAGAGTATTGAAAAGAGTTCTGATTGAAGATAAATTCGTGAATGAAGATGTTTGCATATAATAAAGCCAAACATTTTATTTGCACTTTTATTTGTTTTTTCTATGTGAGGCTTAAATGATAATTAATTATTATAGGTAACGCCAAGATCTTTAATTTCGGAGACCCTGTTTAATAGATCAGTATCCACTGTGTAGTCAAAAATAATCGGCTCTTTCTTGCGACAGATTGTCATGCCAAAGCATTTATTTATGTTAAAATACAATTTATTATGGGTACCTCCATGAACAAACATTATTATTATCTCCCTGAAGCGCTACACAATCTCTGAAAAAAGCGGATAAATCAGTCAAATAGATTGTTTAAAAAACTAATGTACGAACCTCGATTTATCATTCTGTGATGCCACACCCCCGTTCCTAGCAACCCGATGAGACCACCGTTTTAGTACACGGACCATAGGTTAAACGGGCAGATCATAAACTAGTGACCTCTGGTGGATTTTTTAGAGCTATCTTCATTTTAGGGATATAGTTTCTTTTGTTTTCATAAGGGATTTGATCGAAGTTAAAACTGTCACCTTGCGTAAAAATAACCTCGGGTTACTCAATCTTACTTGTTTGACCGATGCAAGTCGTTTGGACGAGGTCATTTTCATCGTAGAGGAGATTTGGTCCATTACAGTAATTGGCGAGTGCTGTATGTGTCAGTAGTCATGTTTTCAATCCTTTTTCAGGCAGGTTGGTATATTTTTTAGTAGTATGGACACATCACATACACGCAAACACATACATTACATACATTACCTTCTATCGGGATTTTCTAATAATGCTTCGTACACTGATGTTATGATAGATTGAACTCCAGCGTGTTTGGTATAGGTGTCCGCTAAAAGTATTTAAAAATTATTGGACTTTTAGAAAGAGCTTTTTGAATTACTAATTTGATCATTTATAAACAAATATAAGTTCTTTGTTATGATGGGCTACGGTCAGGAAAATAGCCTCTTTCTAAAAAACCTATTTTATATTAAAAAAAACATCTAAAATAAAAATAAAGACAGGATTCAACGGCATATGAACTGTGTAACCATAAATACCAACAATTTCAATACGTTGTGTCGATACAAACGCCAAATGTAGTAAAAACAGTACAATAATCAATACCTTTATAAAAGTCGGCTATTTTTGTTGAATCCAAATCTCTAAAAAATTTGATGGGACATAATTTTTTGCATTAATAATCTGATTAGAGCTCAAGAGCTAGTTACAGAACATTGACCTACCTACTCATCACATTCCACATGATCAAAGGTTTAGCGACGCAACCACGGCCGGCCAATGTCCACCGATGTCAGCATTTATTTTTAGTATAAATAGATTGCCAATTAATAATATTTTTTTTGTCTGATATATATTTTACTTTGTATTTATAATATAAAAATTATTAAAAGTATTTTCAAAAATAAAATTAGTTTTTAAAAAGTGAGTTTGAAAGTCAAAACTCGTAATTAGCTTTAACTCGAGAGCTTTAATCAATTGATTACTAATGCCAAAATTATGTAGAATCAAATTGTAAAATGGTCGAGAAATTTAGAAACAACAAAAATAGCAGAATATTATTCAAAGTCGTGTTATATTTAGAACGATTATTTCACTAGACCAAATATCTCTCTCTAGAGAAATAGTCGCTGATATTATATATACTAGGGAGATAGTAGAAGATTATTATTTAGTGTATTATACTTACTGCCATAATAATACTGTTCTACTGTCTTTAACCATCCCACGTCATCATGGGAATGCGGTATCAAATGGACATTTATTTTATTATCTACCACGGGATGGCAAACCAAACAACCCACTTTATTTTCATTTTCATTAACAGGATTGGCTACAATTCCTGTTAAAGATACACACACTAAAATTATCACCCTTACATCCATTTTATATTCTTACCCGGGCCATATGTAAACGAATAATATACTTTGTTTTATTCACTAACATGTATTTATATGCCTGACTGTTGTACTTGACATTATTAATTAGATATATTTGAATAATCACAGATAAAAAATTGATATGGTTTATCGGAGATCTTTAATTTCCGTTACTTTTTAGTAATTTTACGTGTATCTAAGTCATACTGAAAGAATGACAAAAAAAAATATATTAATATTTGGTCTTAATATTGACATCCTTGATCTTGATAGTATCATACAAAAGCTTAAAAATCTATAAAACGTGCAAATTTAGTATAAAGATATTAACAATTATTACAAACTAAGAAAATTTAAAACTAGCCCTTTAAAGATTGAATTGATTTCATACCTTAAAAAAATAGAAATACTAGAAATTTCAAAAACTCAAATTTGCGTGATCTTGCGAAAAAAAAAAAAAATACGGTTCAAAAACAAAATAGTAAGTCCACGACTAAAAAAAAATTTTGAGTGATAGGATTTTGAAGTTACGAGTGGGAATTAAATCGGCTGTAAGTCCAATTAAATAACGAAAAAAAGCCCCTTCGAGCTTACATTAATTTGTAATTGAATGAAACAACGTGGATCTTGTGTATTTTGATGTGATCTTTCCGAAAAAAAAAAAGAAAAAAAAAAGATGTAGTTGTTCTTCAATTTTTTTAAATTAGGAAAAACCGGGTTTTCCGGAATTTTCCATGGTAAAAATGCTAATTATCTGGGCAAGTATCATTCTGATAGTAAAAATAAATGCACCAATCGAAAGAGGAGGCAAAAATAGTTCGGAAATTCATTGCACAGGTAGTTTTAATGGCGAATTTCTCGCCGCCAGAAGTGCTTTTACCAAAAAGTTTTTTCGTTTCTTTGATCAGAACCATGAACATGAAATTTGCGATGAATTTGTGGCGAAATTATAAATGTTAGACAAATGTGCCCATGAGAGAAGTTGCGTATTTTTTTGTTGGCTCTCAAATAAAATAAGTCCCGCGGCGACATCTGCCATAATTTTTCGGGAATTCGCAGGAAACCGGAAGGCGTAGTTTTTTTAAAATTTTTTCCCATATGATTTTCTCCGGGTTTTCTGAAAACATCTAACAAAAAATATATTTGAAAAAATTAACTGCGCCATCGGAAAGAGCACAAAAAAATACACAAAAAGGTATACTTGCTGATAAGCTTGTTTTTTGTTTTCTAACATCTGGTTTTCTTCTCGGTTGATGCTCTATCCTCTTTTTTTTGGCATTATCAATCGCGGCCTTTTTATGCCTATCCCAGGTTTTATAAATAAACTCTTTTTCGTAACGTCGAGCTACATAATGTTTGCGACACCTCTCATACAATATAAAACCTGGTTCTAAAGAACTGAAAAAATCATCCCCCTCTCTTTGCTGACCGTCTGCAGACCTTTCAATCCTGTCGGTCTAATTGGGGTAAGTTTACCCTCTGCAAGTGTCTGATGACATAATAAACACAGGCCAGCCATTGCAACCTGGAAACAAAAAAATTATAGCACTGTGATAGAATTTTCTTAATTTAGGAACGTACTTACTCATTAAATTGCTGAAGAAGTCCAAAAAACCACGTGTACACAGAGCTTGCTGAAAACGGTTATTAAAAATCTATGCCGATGAACACTATCAAGCGATTCAATTTGTAATAATATGACCGTTTGAAGTTTAAACTTGTCGGATAGCGAACGCCGAGACCATGGCTATCCTTGATACGACGTGCGGCTAATTTTGCGGTAATTCTATTTTTTGCACAAAACTCAAGAAACGTCTTATAATAAGTCAGTAAAATTCAATTTAATAAATTTTAGGCCTAATAAATTTAGGTATGTAAGAAATTTAAAACTGGAAATCACAAAAAAATCAAATTACAGAAATGCAGTGTATACACGAGTTTTGGATTCCGCGGAGCGCGTGCAATGGAACTTTTATCGGGACAATTATACAACTTAGAAGAAGCATGCACACTTTAAACTTTGTATCCATATTCAGATGACATGAAATTTAGGTTTGCTTAATTTTCAGACCAAAAAACTGAAAATCGTCAATTTTAGGCAACTTTTCTCAAAAACCGTGTTTGTTTTTTGGTCGTCACTCAATGAACAGTGGTCAAAAAAATATATAAAATATGTTTGCAGAATTTTTCGTAATATAATCGTATTCTAGACACAATAGAGTACCTAAAAAAAATTTTGAGCTATTGGGTACATTTTTGGCATTTTTATGCCACTTAAAACTTTCGAAAAAAAAAATAGTTTTTTTTAGGGAAAAAAATTTGTTTAATTGTTTGATATCTTAGCCAATTTTAATCCGATTTCAGTAAAATTCACACACGTATAAGACTTCATACTTAAGAGTAAGCCCTGTAAGTGGCATTAAAAAAATTTAAATAGTATAGCCGTTATAGGCAAACAATGAAATTGGTCCCGCGGTACATTTTGCCCATCCGCCATTAGCCCAATTTTGGGATTTCTGTTATCCCCTTCTGGGAATCAATAGTCACATCCCTTAAGTTTAAAACGCATATTTGTTTTTTCAAATATCTTAATTTTTATTAAAGTTATGAAGAATTTAGTGTTTAAACATTTAACAAATTCAATTTTTCGACCTTCGCCGCCTCAAAACACTAAACAAATTTCAATCGTCCATACCGCGAGAACGGTGCATCGGATCAAAATTTCTCAAGAGATATGAAAATTAGTATTTTTCCAAAGCTTTCAAATGTCGTAAACTGCGATTTGAAAATATTGATTTATTTTCGACATGCGCCTGCGCAAAATTTAAACATTGACAAAATTCAAAATTTCGGCACTTTCGAAAAACAGCTACATTTTGTTTTGTCTTTTTTCGAAAAGTTCACCTCAAAATACATAGCCATTTTGCTTCATCTAATTACAATTTAATGTAAGCTCAAAACCCGTAATTTAATTCGATTAGTAAATTACCACAGAAAAAATAACAGTCATATTGTTGACAACGTGAAGCAATTAGATTAGATTAGAAGTTTGACGTTATGACAAAGTAAATTCCTTAGTAACAAAAAATAAATTTAATTACTATAAAAATAAAATTGATACAAATTTAAAATAACTCTAAACAGTCATGGGACGTAGTAAACGAAATAAGTGGAAAAATTAACAATTTCTAAAAAAATAAGTTAATAAAAAATGAGCTTCTAAGAAAAGAAAAAGAAATAGCAAATTAGTTTAACATCCGATTTGCGAAAGTAGGGAAAACTTTGGCTAAAAACATTAAATTAGATCCTAAATATAAAGAAAAAGCAAGGCGCAATCCTTTAATCATAGAACCAAGCGAGGTCAGAGTTATTATTAAGAATTTAAAAGATAATAAAGACGATATCAAAGCTGAAAGAATAAAACTATTAGTTCCTTATATACTGGATCCACTAACATATGTTTTAAACAAGTGTATTGAAATAGGCTGCTTTCCTTTAATTTTCAAAACTGCAATAGTTGTACTGACATTTAAGAGAGGTGAAAAAATGGAAGTAAACAACTACATACCGAATTTATTTGACATTTAAGAATGACTGCAATATAGAACAAAATATCTGGATTCACAGGTAACAAGCATGGCCATCCATAGGGTAAAATCGGTACCCTTGTTGAAGTGCATAAAATAAGCTCCATAAGAAATGCATTGCATTTAAAAAAACATTGATATTTAAAAGCCTAAAATTAAACCGAATATTCTGAAAATGAAGAATTTTTTGTGTTAGAAGAAATTATCAAATAAAATCATCACCGCAAATAGTTTGCTTTCTACATCTGCAATTTTATGGTTATTCCTCCAATATTATTCAATTCATAGGTTGCCAACCTTTTTTGGCCTTTCCATCGAGTACTTTTAAGTATTTTTCAGGTGGCGACAGTTGTTCCTCAACGTCTCCCTAAATTTACCTTGGATCAAAAATGAACCCTTAGCTCTCTTCAACACATACCGGTGGGTGGTACCGCGTCCATTGGGAATCACTGGGTAATTTTTCAGGGTACTTTTCCTGGAATATAAATAGATTATAAAAAAAATTCCGGATAGCTTTTGCACTTTGAAGTAGGTACCTCAGAAAGCAATGTCTTAAATGTTTCAACTATTGTAGTAGTAGTGCAGTACCGCCTGCGTAAGAAAATATTCAATTATTTTTTTAAATAAGATGATAATAATGGTTGACATTAAAAAAAAACGAACTAAATTGATTTTTTAAAACTTTTTAAATATTATTAGTATTATTACTATGAGGTACAAATAAATACAAAATTAGTATTAATAATATCAAGAAACTTTTCAATTATTTGAAAGTAACTAGAAAAGTCCTTATTTCCATAGGGCCCAAGGTAACTTTATAATTATCTCCAGTAATTCTCTCTCTTATAAATTCATTAGCGGCAAGACTTAGTTCTTGAATAGAATTCATTACAAATGGATCAAACAAATGCTACAAAAAATAAACCATTATTATTTAACCTTGATTTTTTAGTATATCTGTTTGTTTACCTTTAATTCTACCGAAACTTCCTTCGAGTATTCTTTATCTTCATTTTGTTCAAAAATGTGTTCTAAACGTAGTAGAAAAGTATCATCTTTCCAAGGTTCGAAATTCAATACATTGAGGTTTGGTGGTAGACCCTGTTCTCCGTTTGCTTTACATCCAATCCACTGTACCAAAAAGAAAGCAAATTATTAAAACATACAAAGAATATTCACTCAAAATACTGAAGTAAAAACATTATAAAGAATTTACATAGAATATAAATAAATATCATTTTATTTTTTATTTTTAGTGTTTACCTTAAAGTTTATTTTTGCTTTAAGAGTATCCAGATCCATATCTTCACCAGTAGCATCAGCGACCAACATCCAAGGTTGGGTCATTTTATTCAAAGCTAGAATTCTTTCTAAAACCAAACAACAGAAACGATACTCAATATTCTATTTTAAGTTTTATATTGTACCTGTTCTAGACGAGGCTGCTGAACTAGTTATTAAATAGTGTGATCCCCTTGTAACGATATATTCACCGTATTCCATTTCTTCCAATGTCTCCTCCAAACCTTTGTGATCGTCTCTTAAAGTTCTTCTATGAATCTAAAAACATTCTAAGGTAGAGAGATTGAACGATTTAAGTAGGAATGGAAAAATAAAAAGTGGAGATTTTAAATATATAGGAGTACTGTGAGAAGAGAATACTCATGGTTAACAAAAAAAGATAGAGATCAATTTGCTAGAGAGCAGCTTTATTAATTTGGAGATGTCACACGTATACTTTGATGTTCAAGGCATGTAAAACAAATCTAATAATAGTAAATTTTCCCAAAAGATAAAAACAAATCTTACCAATAATTCGATTTCTCCATCTTTAAGACTACTACCGCCTTGCGAACGATCAGTCACCACTGACATTTGCAAATCTTTGGTTGAATTTTTTATGGTTATTCTGGAAGTTACTGGATAATAGTTTGAAGCCACCGGTTCTATGCTATCATTATTGTAAGCGTAATTGTTTCTTTCTCTTTGGATCATCTGCCTTCCATTTGAATCGGTGTAGAAATAATCAGATTTTATATTATTCACTGAATATCGTGCTATTATTTCTATACCTTTGTTATTTGGTGTATCTCTAAAATTATTTTATAATAAACATTTGTATTTTTTCTTTAAACCTTTAATTAGTTGGTTTGTTATACGTGAATCTCTTTTGACTAAAATGTTTGATTACTAAATCTCTTTTTCTAAAAATATGAGCATACCTATTGATAATAACCTTCGTCGTGTAGTGTGAAGTATAGTCATAATTTTCATTACATTTTCGTAAAATTTTCCACCGATTTTCTGTTAAATATTTGTTTAAATAAGTATTTTGTTTCGTATTGACTTTTATTTTAAATAAACATCATAGTGAAATTAGAAAGGCTAAAAAACTGCATTTATATTTGTGGTACAAATTAAGCTCGCACCACATTCTGTTTAATTTTTTAAGTATCGTACGATGGTTAACATGATCATCGTAAATATGTTTCAAATTATTCATATGCGAAAATCATTAAAATGTTGGAATTATCTCTAATAAGCTGCTTGGGATCTAAATTCTATATTCGATAAAAATATAAAAATAATCTGTGTGTTTATGTCAACAAAAATAACTTTTAGAAAAACGCTGTTGCTAGCTACACGCTAAAGTAAACACAAATCAAAAAATTATATTCACGCGAAACATCATATTACTGTGATGAGAGGTATTTGTGTGAATGCGTCTTGTTTGTTTTCATTTACGCCGTGACTAGCAGTAGTATTTTATAAACCTTAGAAGCAAATTTCATATACATGAACAAATAATAATACCGTGACAACAAGAAAACGAAGCAACGACTTCTCGTAGGGTGGCGGCTTCGCCGCCACCAAAAAATTTTAATCCATACCTAGCTACGCCGACCGACATAAACACCAACGGCTTAGACACAGCTCACCTACTCTGTCAAGATGTTTCGCGTGTATATAACTTTTTGAATTGCGTACAAGTTAGCGTGTACCTAGACACTGTATTAGAAAAACATATTTAACTAGTATTTGCTACAAACAATGTTGAAAACTTTTCTTGAAAGAAAAATGTATATAGTGTTGTTACTAGTATTATTACCTCTAAATTATTATATAAAAAAACTTACACTGTCTTATTATTAAGTGGACCAACAACCCAGTCATACTCAATGTATTCTAATTCGCCTTCAACAATATACCTTAGGGTCTGCACTATATATTTACCAAACTGTTGAATAATTTCAACCATAGTGTCTCCTTTTGTATACATAACTTTACTGTCTAAGCCTCCAAAGCCAGTTTCTTCAATATTGACAGCAGCAGAGCCGTTGACAGGCCTAAAGACATAAGCTCCTGATGTTATATTGTCCCCAGAGCCTGGAAGATCACCTGTACCATTGTTACTAACGTAATACATGAATTTTTGCTTCGTCTGGAACTCATTTTGGTTTTTTCTTATTGTTAATTCGTTTGTCTTTGAGTCAAATGTAATTTTAGACTTCTAAAATAATATAATTATTAAAATACATTGAATAACAAAAACAAATGCAACATCACTTTTAAAAATAAACTTAAAAGGATAGTAAACTATATAATAATCAGAATATTTATCTTTCCTTTCCCATTATATCACTATTTTATGGGAATTATCTTTTTGTAAGATTCTGTAAAAGAAATTGAAGGAAACTGATGAAAAACTGACGAAAAAACATGAAAACCTGATTAAAACTGACATTATATAGTAAAACAATAAACGTACGTTATTTCCCAAATGTATAAGTTCATTTTCTTTTAAAAATGTTGGTTCGATGGCACTTGAAGTATTGCTAATTTTTTGGAGATAGTACACCTTCATACCCATTGGTGGAATGCTGTCTGAAGCTGACAGCTCAATGTCACTAGAATCAAAAGGATAATCCACTGGGTAGTTCATGTGTTGGATAAGCTCAAAATTTATGGGACCTAAAAAAAATCGTTAAAGTGAGTAGTATACCTAATGAGGTACTAAGTAACTTTGGTAACCCTACCATCCAGTTTTCCAGTAGTCTTAGGCGCTAGCATTCACTTGCGAGCAATTTTGTGGTTGAAAGATACCCTGCTTCGAATCCTACAGAAGACCATGTGAATGTATTTGCATGGTTCCCTATAGGATTTGATGGACGTATTGGCAGTAATTTAATTGCTGTTAATATGATATCCATATTATCAAAATCGTCATGTGTTACCGTTAAGATGATGGTGGGTGAGGTTTTCTGGGGTTTCCTCACGTATAAGTCAAATGGTATGATTAAACATCTTTAGGTAGCCCCGGAGCGCCACAAAAAATAATAATAATAATAATAGCCGCCTGTTTTCCTATACAATTCGATCAGTCAGCTTAAGAAGTTGAATTTCACTCGAAATTGGGTGAAGTAGGGAGTGTATTAATATTATTTAAACGGTGAACTGAAGTAAAATACTTTTTTAAAAATCAAAAGATAAATCTCAACAGAACACATTATACAGTACTATGCAAAACTGATATATTAGAAATATCGTAACGAACAAATTATAATACAATAATACAATCATAATAAAATATTTCGAGATATATCTTCCATAAGCCATATAAAGTTATAATAGAACAAATAGAAGAGCCGGAAGTGGCAGGTACGATTAATATCTACACCGACCGTTCTAAAACAAAACAAGGCTTAGGATGTGGAATATACTCCAGATTCTTAAACCTAAACATAAAATGGGCTGTGAACAATAGTGCCAGTGTAGTTCAAACAGAGCTAACGGGTATTCTCATAGCAGCAAAAGAAATAATCAGAAACAATATCACTGGAAAGAACATGCTCATCTATACAGATAGCAGACAAGCACTACTCACCCTGAACAGACCACGAATTTACTCAGGGTTAGTACTAGAATGCCACGAAGCTTTGGCCAAAGTATCCATCGACAATGTGGTCACCTTATATGGATTAAAGGTCACGCTACATCGAAAGGTAACCTCTTGCTGATTCACTAGCCAAGAAAGCAGCCAACCAAATACTTTTTGGACCTGGCCCTTCTATTGGCCTGACAAAATCGGTAGTGACAGACCTAATTAAAGAACATTTTCTTTGAAATTCAAGGAAAGATGGGATGAAACAAGAAACTGCACAGTTGCCAGGGAGCTCTTAAGTTATCCTGACAACACTGCAGCAAACAAATACTTGACTATGACTAGACAGAATCTGCGCCTAGTCACAGGCATTTTGACTGGTCATTGCCAAATATGAAAACATCTTCATATCATGGGGCTGTCAGAATCCGCACTCTGCAGAGGGTGCGAACAAGAAGATGAGACCATCGAGCATATACTTTACGATTGCCCGACGCTCTCATTTATTAGAAGATTTGTGTTCGGCGAGTATCGGCTAACACCGCCCGATATAAGAGAAGCACTTCTTAGCGAAGTTGTCAACTACATAAAATCTGAAGGCTGGCTTACGAGCTAGGAAGTTCCTATCATCTCAGGAGGATGCAGAATGATCATAATGAGGCCTAAGTGCCGTGGGGGGTAACCCACCCTCCACACGTTACAGATAATAAAATGTTTGTTTTTATTTTATTTAGTATTAGGTTTAAAGGAATTAAAATAACATTAATGACTAAGAATTATAAATTTATTTTCTAAATATTAACAAACTAGTTATTTTAATGAAATAAAATGTCAACCTGTTTTCTGTAACCTTCTTTATCCATATTATTAACTTGAAACATTGATAGAAATTCATACTTTGTTTGCCAACTCAAAGAACACATGTTTTTGAATTGAATAACATATCGGTTCCAACATATCGTAATAGATGTGTTTTAAATATATATATATATATATTTTATCTTGTTTAAATACAATTAAAACATTGGCGTTGTCTCTAATTAAATGTTTAGGAATTTTTGCATAACTGAATTAAATAGAACGGATTTTTACTTTAGCTTCAGATAAATGAATTATGTTTGTACTTACACTGAATATATAATATCGAATCCAGTTTTACCGCAATTACTGAAAATATATTTTATATGTATTTCACTAATTGATGTTGAACAAGAACAATCAACAATATTAAATGCTGCAATAAATAAGTTACCTATTACACATTCCTGGTTATAAGTATTGTGGACCCGGAACGAAGTTGCAAAGACGATTATCTTGAGGAGATAGATGTATAAATAGTCTAGATAAATTATTTCGTTAGTATATTCTTAAAAAAGAATGCTAAAATACGATATGAAACTGACAAAATTTTAGCTGACAAAGCAATGGCTTAATTTCGATTAAAAATATAGCATTTTTAGAAAACCTCTCCGGTATATACGTTGTTGGTACCCATAGCTGATTTTCTGTATCTTTAAATATAAGGAAAAAGTTCAGGCCTTAATCTGTATCTTTGAGAAATACTCGATATGGTCGAGAGTTTTTCAATCGCACATTCCCTTCCTAACTTCTTTATCCAGATAGTTTTATTTTTAACTTACCATATATTCCAGTAAGTGTGTAGGTTCCATTTTGAACAGGTACTCTTATATAGTAAGTAGCATATTTTGGAAGAGGATTGTAAATAACAATTAATGATCTGTCCTTCATGGTTTGGTCACAAACGCTTATATTGGTAAGAAGGCATGTAGTAAGAGGTAAGGTGACATCCTCAGTAATATTGTCGAGCTTTAATATATTACTATAATAATAAAAATTGATACGTTAACACAACTCTTTAATGAATATGAAACGGAAATTGATGAAAGGCATTTTTATAAACATCTCTAAAGAATAACAAAATAATAAGAAAGGACATTAAGAAGTGTTCTTACCCTATAGTTTTTCCAATACTTTTCTCCGTATCTCTTATTGCCGACGTCAAAATTCTTGAATAATCGTAAGCAACTCTTTCCTTTTCTGTCCCAGTAATAGCGTCATGATGTTGCATGGTACTCACAGCTTCTCTTAAGCTTCTAATATTTTCTTCGCATTCAGATCCGTTACAGATCTTTCTGAGTTTTGCAAAAGCATTTAAATTTTGGGCAGCCTAAAATTTATTGATGAGTGATCAAGAATGGTTTCTGCGCGGAGGGTTCCAACTCGACTAAGATAATGAGTATTTTAATTTAAATCTGGAATGACACAGATACTATTGTGGTTTTTACTTACCTGCAAAATATTGTTCCCTACTCTTTCGTATCTCTTCAATGTTGATCTCGAGGTGTAATATCCAGCCCAATAGACGTGGTCGTTTTCGTTGTAAGGGAAGAAGTCTCCAGATTCTTTGACGGAAAATGTTGCATTGGCTTTTTTTACCGCATTGACATAACATGATGGTGTTGAGTAAAATACATTGTATTTTTTACTGGATTCAAAACCTCTGTAATAAATATGTTGTATTTTGTGGAATTTTAGACAGTTAACTTTATAGTTTTAATGAGGTTCTTGGAAATCTAAAGAAGATCTGATATATGAGATTAAAAGAGTTATAATTTTTATAAAATTGTTAACAGAAGAAATTTGAATTAAATTTGTTAGTTTAAGAGTTATGCTTATTTAGAATGTGAACATTTTTTTAATGTATACCTAATATTTACTAAATTTTTCATAATTTATTTAAAAAAATGAGTTTACGAAGGAAAATATTGCAAACTCAATTAAAATGTAAAAATGAAGAAATCTCGACGACAATATTATAAAATATACGAGTAACCGCTTCTATAGAGAAAACGAAATACTCCTCTGGCTAATATCTCGATAGGCATTGCATTATATCAAGCTAACAGCCAGATGGATATTTTGTTTTCTGTAGGAATACTTTCTTAATCTTTGACATATCTTCGTTGTTTAGAAAAAGTTTGGTTTAAAATGAAATTAAATGTTTTGTTTCTTTCGGTATATATATAGGAAGTTGAAAATATTATTACTTAATTAGTTTATCAATGTTCAAAAAGTTGATTTCCGCCGCTTGATATTGAAAATCTCCACCCATCGCAAATAATATATTATTTGTTCGAAAATATTTTTTGTAGCTGTCAATACGTTTTGCAAATTCTTCTATCTAAAAATAAATAAAAAATAAAGAAAATTACATACTTATAATTATTTAAAAACGTATTAAAATGATTCATAAATGTTTCTAAAAAGAACAATAAACGAGCCACTTTCTTCATAAGAAGAATTGTAAAAAGAATGTGTGAGAAGGATTGTAAGAAGAATTTTAATAATAATTGTAAGAAGAATTGAAAGAAGAACTGTAACAAGAATTGTAAGAATAATTTTTTAAAAATGTAGCAAGAATTGTAAGAATAATTGTAAGGATAATTGTAAAAAGAATTGTAAGAAGAAAACCTAAACATCCTTAGTTATTTGACAATTTAAAATTTCCGTTTTTTTTTTTCATCTTCTGAAAATTCTCTTAAAATGACAGGTTGTTTCTGAAATAAACGATTTAATTGTAAGAAAAATTGTAATAATAATAGTAAGAAGAATTGTAAGAAGAATTGTACGGAGAATTGTAAGAAGAATTGTAAGAATAATTATAAGAAAAATTGTAAGAAGAATTGTAGGAAGTTTTGTAAGAAGAATTGTAAAAAGAATTGTAAGAAGAATTGTTAAAAAAAATTGTGAGAAGAATTGTAAGAAGATCTGTAAGAAGAATTTTTATAAGAATTGTGAGAAGAGCTGTAAGAAGAATTTTTATAAGAAATATAAGAATAATTGTAGAAATAATTTTTAGAAGAGTTGTAAGAAGAATTTTAAGAAGAGTTGTGAGAAGAATTGTAAGAAAAATTTTTAGAAGAATTGTAAGAATAATTGTAAGAAGAAATGCAAGAAGAATTGTAATAACATTTGTAAGAGGATTTGTAAGAAGAATTGTAAGAATAATATTATAGTCCAATAAACGTGAATTTCTCTACGGTCTACTTTAGAAACAATTTTTGTTTATCACTTTTATAATTACTCACCTTTTTAGGTAAATTGTAATCAAAACTTTCTGGGTCATCGTTAATGGCATCTGAGTCGCATTGCAAATAGTCCCAACAAAAGTCAGAAGGTGCATAATAACCGTCCATAGCACTAGTAAAAATTTCACTGTCTTCTAAAAAAATTATTTGATAATAAGAAATGAAGAGAAATGAAAACCTTATTTTAAAGTTTGCAAAGTTGGAGAATATCTCGATGTATTTTGATGTTGAAATTAAAAATTAGTCAAGTAGGTACTTACGGCTATCAACGACTTTAAAAATTATACAATAATAAAACCGTAAAAAATTACGGTTAAGTTTTGACTAGAAGTCAAAATCGCAATCATGGTATTGAACAAATGTATAAAACAATATTAAAAAAAAACACTTACTGAAGTTATCGTTACTTTTCCACATGAATTCCAAATCTTGCGTGGCTTTTCTCCTGTTTCTATCGTCAATGCTGAGACGGGTAAAGAAAATGGCGTCGTACCCCATTTGCTTGAAAATGGAGGCTTGTTCTCTGCTATGCCCGAACGGATCAATTTGCCAACCGATCTTGGGACGACCGCAATCACCCAAAGTGTCGTTTAAAAGTCTGCAACGAGTCGGTTTTAATTATTTCTGAGATTGGATAGTTCGAATTAAGGGTTTGTTACATTTCAGGAGAGAATAAGAATTCAAATTCATGGAAATAAAAATAGGAAGAATGCGATAAGGGATCTATAAAGTATCAGTCACTTATGTAATATATTTTTGATCCAATAAATTATATTACCAAAAACAGACAGTATATTATAATAGATTCGATATTTATATATTAATTTTTAGATTAAGTCAATAACAATGTTACTATTTTAATCTTATTATTTGCATAATATTTAAGTAGTTTGCTATTTTCAGAATATAATCCATCTTTTAATTATATTGTTTAGCTTAAGCAATGGTAATTATTAACAATTTTAGTAATTTCAGTAACTGATTAAATTATTTTAATTGCACTTTACTGACTTTGTAAGGCTTTGAATCTTCTTGTTTTGACCTTAAATTCAGAAAACCGTTTAGCAAATAAAGTAGAGGGTCTGAAACAATTCCCTGAAGAACTCAAAACTTAACAAAAATACCAGATGAACGTTTCACCAAACTAACGGACACTATTTATTTTTCATTTTTTCATTTCATTACCTTAGGCCCCACGTAAACTGGTTAATTATAGACTGATAGTTGGTACAAGCTTCGTCATTCATAGTCCAACCTCCACCGACCATCTCAATCCTTCCACTTTCAACAAAACTTTTAAAAAGGTCTTTCTTTTCTTGAGGTTGCTTTTGCCACCATTTCCAAAAGTAAGCAGTCTCCACTTGAATATATCTAAAAGAAAACCGCAAACAAATCAAAATATTTGATTTCGGTAATCAATTCATAAATATTACCTGCGATCAACATTGTGCTTAAGAGCTTGAAGTACTGACTCGAAAATATATTGTATACCCACATTTTGGACATCTTCGTGCACTAAAAATGGTAAAAAGGTTACATTGTAAGCTTCTCAGAGTTTGTTAAAAAATGCACTGAGCCAGCTAAATAAAAAAGATTTAGGGTTCTGCAATATTTGACGTAATAAAATATTATTACGGAATCGCGTCTTCAAAATCTTAAAGGATTATTTAATTTCCCAACCAATAAATTTCGGTATAAATTTCCGATGACTGCTTTGTAAAATATTTGTACACATAACTTGACTCCAAAAAATATAATTTAAAATTATCAGTTAGCTAGGTGTTAAATAAAAAGAGACTGGATAAAGCTGATGATTTACATTTAAAGATTAAAACTCAATACTCACATCCATAGTAATATTCATCCACAGCCTTTAGCCAACCCACATCATCATGCGAATGGGGAATTAGATGCACATTAATTTTGTTTGAATATATTTTGTTACATGCCTAAAAATATAAAATTGCAATAATAAAGCAATGTGATGTGTAAGGCATGCAAATAGAGCCAAAATAAGCTCTCATCTTCAACTCATAGACTTGATTGTATTTGAAATAATCATACAAAAAAAAACAGTGAATGAATATTAATCTTCAAGTAGAAACTCAAGAAGGGATTGGAAGTTCAGTTTATGTCAGAGTTTTAGACAAAAACCTTAAGCAACACGTTTGAACACAATTCCCCATTAAAATGAGGAAAAAGTCGTGACACTGTGTGATGTAATTAAACCTGGCCAAAAGACAGGAAATCTATAAGGACTCTCAAAGATAAGGGAAATAGAACCCTGGAATATGCCGATGATCTAGTGATCATGGCACAGGGAAAATACACTATAGTAAGAGATCGAATGCAAGATGCTCTAAATATAGTAACAAAATGGAGAGAGGCGGAAGGACTAAATATTAGCCCAAACAAATTTGACATAATTGTATTCACCCGCAGGAGGAAATTGGAGGGACTAGTACCTCTAATCCTAAGAGGTGCAAGCATCCAGCTTAAGGGGTAGGTAAAATAAGTCGGGGTTATGATTGACTCGAGATGTACCTGGAACCAGCATCTATAAAAAACCACAAGGAGAGCGGAAACCTCGTTAATGATGGCAAGGCGATCCGTTGAAGAAAAGTGGGGGTTAAAACCAGACATGGTATATCGACTTTATAACATGATGGTAAAACCGATAATAACATACGCACTATACGCAGCCTTGGTGTAGTGGCCAAAGGAAAGCAATAACGAGGCTAAGCAAGGTACAAAGATTTGCCTGCCTCGGAATAATGAGGGCAATGAAAACCACCCCCGCAGTTGCAATGGAAGCACTAATAGGACTCCCATCTCTTCACTATGTAATAGAAGAGGAGGCAAGATTAAGTGCTTACAGATTAGGGAATACACTGGGAAATCTTGACATTAGGCCAGGTCATGTGAGTATCTCAAGGTTAGTGACAGGAGACGTGTTAGATATGAGATCAGACCACATAACCAAGAGGTACTTTTTTAATACTCCATTTAAGGTTTTAATATAGAAAAGAGCGGATATCACCATAAGGGAGCCCAATGTCCAATGACAGGAACAAATCTGGTATACACACGGGTCTAAGGCTGCGGAAGGCACTGGGGCGGGAGTATTCTCTAAAAACCCTGATACTAACCACAGCAATGCTATAGGAATACATTCTTCGGTATTTCAGGCCGAGGTATACGCAATTTTGCAATGTGCAAAAACGAACAATGAAAGAGCTGTCGAAAATTAGCATATTCAAATAATGTCAGACAGCCAAGTGGCACTTAAGGCCATATCGAGTCAGAAAGTTACGTCGAGGCTGGTATGAGAATGCATCGAAGAACTAAGAACACTGGCAGACCAAAATACAGTAAAACTATTTCACCAACGGATCGAAGGCAACGAAAAGGCTGACGAACTTGCAAAAAGAGCGTCAGAAAAAACACCGGAACCAGACACAAATCCAAGAGTACCAAGCTGTAAAGTCCTGGGTTTCATAAACGACTGGATTCGGGAACAACATATTAACTATTGGGGAAGCACCCCAAAACAGGCACATGGAAAAGCCTTCATAGACAGACCATGTCCCAAAAGAACTGGAGAACTACTCTTTGTGAATAAGAACCAATGATAACAGGGTTCATGACTGGACACGCCCCAGTAAAGGGACACTTGAACAAAATTGGCATGTACAATGGGAAACTCATGTGCGGACTATGTCACAAGATCACAAGATTGCAAAAGACAGGCACTTTTTGGACAACCCCAAGTTGATTCAACAATGTATAGAACCCACTCATCCAAGGATCTGTACAAACTTGTACAAGGTATAAAGGTGACAGAGTAGGTGCTATGAACTAACATGGGGTAAAACACAATAAGCCAATAGGCTTCAGTGTTATTCGGAGACATAGTCAGACGAGTCCAGGAGAAAAAAAATAATGAGTACTAGAGATAATATGGTTATGTCATTACGAAAGTCAAATAAATTTCCTTGAAGAAACTATGTGTTGGCATTGAAAGCCTTCCAGAATGTTCTAGACAAGAAAACTTTACAGAATGATAAGGATGTATGGGATATTTGAAAAATTAAGAATAAAAGAAGACATTAGACTTATTTCTAAAGTCATACTTCCCTAAATGTGAGATTATCCAAGAGAACTATAGTATCGAGGCACAAAATCAAGGCAATAGTTCCTAATGACTCAAAAACAAACTTGTTTCTTGCAAATAGTATAGGCAATACATTATTTTTAACCATACAAGATAGCGAGACCTGATGGTATAATCCATGCACTTCTACAAAAGGGACAGGAATTACTGGAGGGATCACTGAGTAAACTATTTCGAGCTCTAGCATAGCCGTTGAATACGTTCCGCGCAGATAAAGGTATGCAAGAGTTGTCTTAATTTCTCAAACCTGGGAAAGTGTATTAGGCAGAGAATAAGGCAGTTTTCGTTTTTATGCAAATTTGTTATGAAGTTTCAAATATTGTATATTAATTTAAGTTAATAGGCGCCTGGTGACTAGTTTCTAAGTCTAATAAAATGAAACTTTTGAGTTAAATAAAAATTGGATGGGTTTTGAGATTAATAAGCACTTGAATATGATGTAGGTCCCTCTTTAAATCTAAGTTTAAAATTTAAAACTATAACAAATTAAGTTTAGTAATACTTACTCTTAAAGCACACGATTCAGATTTGTCAACACGAAAACCAAATTTTTCAGCAAATATATTAGCAATGCTAGTAAATAAGCCTAGAATAACAATTAAGTTCATCTTGATATATGTTTATCTCTACCAATGAGAAAATATTTTAATATTCTACTATCTATTCTAAAATAATTGTATTGTTATGATAAGATGCATGTCTATTTCAATTTATAAGTTTTATAAATTGGAGTATCTAAATAATAAGATAAAAAAGATAAGTTATAAATGTGAAGAAATAAGATTCTATAGTAATATTATGGACAACTTGTTCTAGGAAATTTTTACTTAGATAGTGCAAATGAAGATGATAATATTAATTTTAAAAGTATCATTAGCGCATTTGTAAACGAGAATACAAAATCGGTTTGCCTTCAAAATAAGCTACATTTTGGTCAACCCATGTTTTTCGTTTACTTCAGTAGTCCAAGTTCCATCTAAGTAAAAGATTGGCCTGTTTTTTTTATATTTTTTGAGGGATTTTAAATATGATGACCTCTATGCAGACAAGCACTACTCACCCTAAACAGGCCACGAATCTATGCAGGGTTACTACTAGAATGTCACAAAGCTTTTGCCGAAGTATCCGTCAATAATGTGGTCAACTTAAGATGGATCAAAGGTCACGTCACATCGAAAGGTAATAGTCTTACCAAGAAGACAGCCAACCAAATACTTTTTGGACCTGGCCCTTCTATTGGACTAACAACATCGGTGATAAACCTAATTAAAGAACATACCATTGTGAAATTCAAGGAAAGATTGGATACAACAAGAAGGTGCAGACTTACTAGACAGCTTTTTAGTTATCTTGACAACACTATACATCAAACAAATACTTGACTATGACTAGACATAATCTGCGACTGATCACATTGCCTACTACGGAAGTATCTTTATATCATGGGGCTTCCAGAATCCATGTTCTGCAGGGGGTGCGAACAAGAATATGAATAGAAGATTTGTGTTCGGCGATAATTAGCTAACACCAACCGATATAAGATAAGCACCTCTTGGTGACGTTGTCACCTACATTAAATCTGTAGGCTGGCTCATGAGCTTGGTGTATATCATCTTAGAAGGATGCACAATGTGCCTAGTGAGGCCTAAATGCCGAGGGTTAACTCATCCTCCATACGTTACTTATACAGGAAGTCGGATTTGGTTACTATAGATCGGTTCATTATAAAATATTATTTTAATTTGTGTAAAAAAATTGATGGTTTCTGACTTACGAGTATTTTTTCAATATGAAACACCTAATTCAGAGAGTCATCTAATGTTATACCGAGCAACTTGCACTGATTTCCCATTGTGACCTGCTTATTACTGGAAATAACTAAGATCTGTGTTTTATTCTTATTTAGCTACAAATTATTTATAAAAAACAAAGATGCATTTTCTTAATCAATCAAGTGTGATACTGTCATTAAAAGTAAAAAAAAATATTTTCTGTTTTCATATAGTATAAGTCACTGATATTATATGGTGAACTAAAGTGGCCCCAGAATAGAATCTTGCGGAACACTATGAGCGACAGTTTTTGAATTTGGATTTTGTATTATTTTCTAAGTAGAAAAATTGTTGTTCTTTCCAAATAAGATAATAAATTCAAAGGTACTAGAGAAAAATGTACCTAAGTACTACTTTTTTTTAATCTTGTTTAAAATTTTTTTTATTTTATTCATTTTTTTATTTTATAGATCAATTTTTTTGTCAAAAACGTAACGAAAAATGGTTAAAAATCATTTTGGCTCTTAAAATATACATTTTCCTACGACCACTTAGAAAAGTGACACATATCACACTATATAGTCCTATGGAAAGTGCCCTATATCACACGCGTATGTCATTTCTATTTTGATCTATGTAATGTCCATATTAGTACTAAAAGTCGATATGATTGTTAAATTATTGAAATTGTTGTAAATTAGATCCTAGATGTTTATTTTAAACAATTATTATTAAAATAATTTTAAAATAACTAAGTTATGTTTGCTTTTTATTCTGGTTAAACCGATTAGATCATTCAATTGACGCAAGGCCTATTAGCTCAGGTAGTAGAGCATCAAACTTTATCAACTTTGCCATTTGAGACCTGGCGAGCGACTGCGTTCAAATCCTTGCGGGTGCAGAATTTTTTTTTTTTATTTTTTTTGGTTTTTTATTTTTTTTTAGAAAATATGAAAATTGAATAAATACGATTTTTGTTGATTATTTTTTTAAATACATTTTAATTATTATATTAATAACCTGGTTTTACATTTTTTTGATGATATTATTTTGTAGTTGTAGGAAAAACATTGTACATCACTTGTGTGAAAAGTAATTTTCCACACTCGTGTGATAGTTGCACTCGGCTTGTGGGTGATATTCTAGCCAAGAAGAGCAATATAAAAAAAGAGAGTCCGATCCTGGAATTTTTTAAAATTAAATTATGGTTTTGATTGACCTAAGAGAGTGTAACTTCTGTACAAAATTTTATCAAAATAAATCTAGCCGTTCAAAAAAAAATTGCCGATTTTAGTTTTGGCAAAAAATCATAAAACACCCTATATCTCAGAAACGAGTAAGATTAAAAGGTAAGTATAGCGTTGTTTTGAACTCAGCTAATCTGAAACACCCTGTATACATCTAACTCGAAACATTTTTCTATATACACTCATTGCCAACGAAAATGCTGAAAAATTTAAATTTTATACTTTTCCTCCAATTTTTCCATTACGGTCCATTTTAAAGAAATCATGTAGAAAACAAAAATTATAGAGATCGATATCGCAAATATCTTTTAGTTATTTGAAGTAACTTTTATTTAAAGAATTTTCTTCTCCAAACGTAAATAACAGATATATTTCATAAAATATAAAAATGACCCCCTATAAAATACCCCCCAGATGTTCCGACTCTGTCAAAAATCTAATCAGTTCACCTCAGGACGGAATAAAGCATAAGTTTAAAATTTAAGGTTTTTTCTTTATCCATTTTTGAGTTTTCTTCACACACACTCACATACACACACATATCATCGCGAAAATAGTCAAAATGGATTCAGGGGACACCAAAACGAAAAAATGTCTGTATACAGATAGGAAAGCAAAAATTTGTTATTAAATAGTTTTACGAAAAAAGTTCTTGATAAATAGTCACAAATTATTAATTAAGATTAAAATTTTGAAAGTAAAATAAAAATAATGATTTATGGTGTAGAGTAAAGCAGGCACACCTAGTGGGTAAGAGATGATAAAATCATTAGACTTCCAGACCAAGTTTGTATTAATTTGATTTGCAGGTTGAATTTGAATGGAAATGGTTTCTCTATAGACCTAAATGGTACCTACATAGAATTTTTTTTTTTTAAATTCATTGATATTATTCTGTAATCGAACAAATCTTTAATTTTTAATAAATGTATCTCAGCCTTTTATTTTATTTCAAACCAATGTTTAACAATATAAAATATTACCATATCGTCTGCAAAGCTAATTATTTTGTTGTCCACTTTTAGCAAATATAAATTATTGTTTAGGTAGAATATAAACTTTATTGGCCCCAGCACTCTTCACTGAGATACACCTGACAAGACAGTTTGTTCATTTCTTGAATCCTGCTTAATTTTTACTTTTTGATTTCTGTAATAAATCAAGCAATTTTTGTATCAGATTTTTTACATAATTTTATAAGATCTACCTCAAATGAATAAATTAGGAATTTCATTCTTTAAAATACATTTTGTTGTTTTTTTTCTCGATAAAAATTAATTTTAACCCTTAATATTCGCAGCCAGGATGCTGCTCTACAAATAGGAAAATACAGATACGAATTCATGCGCTGTAAAGCCAGACGAATCAAGGCGTCACGGCGCCAACGAAAATGGGGTTTAAGAAAATGATTTCGTTTCTGTTTGAGATTTTTCTCTTTTAACAATAAAAAAAAACGGTACATTGTGAATATATTTTAATAATTAAAGTGGAATATAGTGAATTATTGTTGAGCTACTTGTTAAAGCATTCAAATTGGTGAGTTAATTATTTAATTTTGTATATTTGAAGGATATAGTGAATAAAAAAAAAACGGTTATGTCGTTTTTTTAACAGGTGCCTATTATATCTATGTAGACAACCTGTCATTAGTGCGTGAATGCTGGATATTTCAATTTAGTGTTATAGAAGGCCTTACTTAAAAGTAAATTACGCTTTTGTATCACGCTTTTGCTGAAAAATAAAAAAATATTTTGTTTATTTTTAGAATTGTCTGATATTATTGTATTCAACTCTAGAATATGTTTAAAAAATATTATAAAATTGCTAAAGATTTATTTATATAAGACTAGTTAACGAAAAACGTGTGTCTTTTTATCCAACTGTTGCAACACGATGGCATCGGTGCGATATCTACCTGCCTTTTTTATCATTAATCTATCAATGATGAACTAACAGCGCTGTCTTTTTATCCAACGTTGCTGCAACACCAATCAATCAGTTTCAGTATGTTTTTTCCGATAAGATGTGTCAACTGACAGCTGGATTGTGGGAATTAAGCAGAATTAAGGGGTTAATCAATTATTTAATTGTTCTATTGTGGGAAAAACCGAAAAAATAGGCTTTTTAAAATACATACTTTCAAATTAAGGTATATAGGTACATTCAAATAAAATTTTAATTCAAAATATCAGTTTATATTTATTTCAACGGTCAACCATAAATAAACCGAACGATTCCAACAAACCGATAGAAAAAAAGGCACACGTATAGTGATTATAGAAATTGTTAATTTAATATGGAATATTTTGAAACCTGTCATAAATATGGCTCATTTTAGGTTCAATTTACTCAATTTTTTTTTCAAATACAACGCCCTGTATTAAATTAGTTATAAATTAACCTATTCATCGATATCAATATGCTAGTATATTCATTTAGATGATAATATGATTTTCCCAAACGAATTTTTTATTTTTCAATTTTTTTAAGGTTCTATCATAAAATTTTTTTATACAATTATCTAGGCTTTTGAATAATTGAACTTACTTTTGATCACTATGTCCTAACTTTTTACATAGAGAGCATTCG